AACCGAGAAACAGACTCTTAACTGTAGAGAACTAGTGGTTACCAGAGGGGCAGTGGGTGGGAGGACTGGATGAAATAGATGATGGGAATCAAAGAGGACATGATGCATGATGGAAAAAAAAAATCTGTGTGCCATGGTCACTGACCTGGCAGGAAGGGGCTGAGAGAGCTGCCCAACGGGGCAGGTGTGGGAGAGACAGGGCAGCCCATAGCTGCACCGGCCCACTGCGGGCGCCTGCACTGGAAAAGTTGTCACGGGAAGGAAGCCAAGCAGCATTTATGCCTTTGATGAGCAAAATCAACATGAGAAGACAAATCCACAGTTATTTAATACACATTTGGCAAACAAAAATCCTTTAAAGAAATCAAGTCCCTTCACGAGGAAAATAATAAAAAGTGATGTTTGATGGTGAGGAACATGAGTACCCACTCAGGAGAGCTGAAACAAAATGGCAACTTGGTTTCATATCAAAGGATACAGTGGCTTTGTGGAGGACTCAAGGCTAAACTTTAGCCCAGTCACCTGGAGGGTAGAGACAGGTCTCCCTGAAGAAGACAGCCATGCCCTTTGTCCAGTAGCCCTAGGGACCTGGCTCCGACAGAAACTGGGAACCTGGTGGGTTGGCTCACCCCACTGGTCAGGGCCCTGAGGAGGGATCCCTGGGTGGTTTCTGCCTTAGAAAGAACTGGAGACAGATGAACTGGGCTTTCTGCTCTATCCCACTACAGGTGATTCTGTGTTGATTTCCCTTCTGTCATCCCAAGCTTTGGTGAATCACTGTCTACACAGACTGGCTTTTTAGATGAGGGGCTGAAATTTCAGGCAGAGTCTAATCCCCTCTTAGGTGGCATGTTCCAGAGGAGCAGACACCCCCCAGAGGCCAGTGGCGAGTCTGGCAGGCCTTCCAGATATATTTAAGGAGAACCTGCCCAGAGGAGGTGATTCACCTCCCACTTCCTGGGGAGGAGACTCATTCTCTGGCCTGTCCTACAGAATTTGGTATTGACTTTATCAGGAAAAAACATCGGGTGTCCTTGCATGTTGAACAGGATCTGTTAGTTAAAAAGACATGATAATCTTGCTTGAAATGGACAAGGACAGATGGGCACGGATGATGCTTCACAACACCTTCAGGCTGGGCTGCAAAATCTTCCCAAGAAGAGTTCCGAGCTTTGGGAGGCGTTCTTGGCGGCATGGGTCAGCGTAGGTGCCCACAGCAGCCTAGTCCGATCCTGGCCTGCATGGCTGCGTCCTTGGGCAGCTCCAAGGTAAGAGAAAACGGAAGGGTTTCCTGCTTCCTCTTTGCTGGATCAGCTCCTGCAATTTGGCTGGAAAGCCTTCCTGCTTCTTTCTGTTCACCTTGCTGGGAATCCCAAAGACACAAACCCCCAGAGTCAGAACTGCTGGAGCGTGGGGATCCTCTGACAATTCTTGCTTCCCTGGACTCTGAGGCCAGCAGAGCCAGCTAAGCTGCTGCTCCCTCTGGCGGGAGGCCCCTTCTTCTGGCCTTACCCTCTGCTCCCCTCCCTAGCTATGGCTACATCTGGGCAAATGGGAGGTAGGGGAGAGGGGAACAGGGAGATAGAGAGGGAGGTTGAGATTGACTTCAGATGTGCAACCATAGTGAAGAGTTCTCAAATCTGCACGGCTCAACACGGTGTAAAAAGGGCTTTCTCACTCACATCTGATCTTCAGCACCTTGGAGAGCACTAGCCTCTTCTAACCCCACCCCCCCCAAAAGCCAGCTGTTACCGGGTAAGTGGCTGATCAAAAACCCAGTGCTAGGATTGACTCTAGATTCAGTGCTCTCTCCAGGGGGAGAGACTGTTTCTATGCATTTTAAAAAACCCAAATCAAAAAACAAAACAACAACAATAAAACCCAACCCAAATCAGAAACACAGGTATCTAACAACCCAAGCAACATGTAGTGCACAAATGTTATATACAGACCAACTTCGCACAGGCTGTCCCTGTCTGGGGGCCCGCTGGCTTCCTCATCTGCTAGCCCTCTCCTACTGGGCCAAACCTCAGCCATCACAGACAATGTGCTCAGAGCCACGGACCTAGCACATGCCTTCATTATAAGTCATTATAAGACTCCTCACACGGCACTGCAACACATTTATTATATGCTTGTCTCTTCTAAGACACTCTGGGCTCTTTGAGGGCAGAGATGTGCATATTTCAACTCTGGATCCAAAACACAAGTAAGGGCAGGCACAGGCTGGATGCTCAGTGCATGTCTGGTGAATGTAAGCATTCTCCTTGCAAAACTAGCTGGCTTCTATCGAATGATCTGGCACCAAAGGTAGGAGGTGGGAGCATACCCTGGCTGGCGGGGGGTGTGGCACGAACACACAGCACACACCAGTGGGGCTATGGCACTAAGGCTGGGGAACAGGGCCCTCTCCCTTGCAAAAGATGGAGAGTCCTCTGAGCTAGGTCCCAATCACCCAAAAGTCAGGGGACTCCCCAACCCTGATGTCCTACTGCCAAAGCAGGGCCCCTCTGCCAGGAGATGCTGGGCACAGAGGAGGACTGAGGATCCCTGACCCAGCTGAAGCCCTTGAGTGCCCCCTCACCAGACTCCCAGCAGCTGAGTCCTCATGGCTGCCACTGTCCCAGTCAAAGAAGGCTTCCTGGACAGCGTCCCAGGAACCTGTCTTGCAAGAGCACCATGAAGAAGTGTTCTGTGCGCAAACATATGGGAAATGCTACATGTTACACAGCCGCCTCCAAGAGGCCCTACAAACACAGGCAAGCTGAAGGTCCTGAGATGTCCTGCAGCAAGACAGTCATATAACTGGGCTTTAACCCAGTGCCTGCCAAACCTATCTGATCACAAAGTGCCTTACCCCACTTTCACATATACACTCCCTTGATTTTTCTTTATGAAAAACCCATTAACATCCCATGGAAGTAGTGTTCCAAGGAAACCACTTTGGGGAATGCTGGTTCAGGTCACTGAGCAAGGGAAATACTTCCTACGGAGGAGAATGGCCTCTTACAGGCCGGTGGGGGTTGGGGGGCGGGATACACGGGCGGGGTGTGGAGTGTCACCAGGAAGGGGAAGATCATGCCCCAGAAAGTGTGCCAGAAATCTCTCATCAGACAGCACACAAACTGCCTGGGAGAAAAAGCCTTAGAACCACTTGACTCCAGTGGAAAAGACAAGAGAAGCACCTCTCCCGAGCCTGTTTTCCCATCTGCAAGATGGGAATCAGCCCTGCTCTGTCTGGGCCATCAGGTGAGGAAAGCTGCCCCCTCCAGCACAGTTTGTGTGTGTGGCAGATATTCAGTCAAACATACCCAGCAGCATGCTGCACGGATAGGGGGCTTGTGGAAAAACCAGCACAGCAGCAGGAAGCAGACACAGAACCTCGGAGCATGTAACTCAGAGGCCAGTGTATTTCAGGGGCAAACAACTTTTGGCCTATTGAGAACTAAGCCCTGGAGACATCAGTACATTACATTACAACACTGAGGATACCCGGTGCCTCCAGCTCCGGAAGTCTACATGGATCAGTGGAAAGGCATGGGCCCGGAAGCCCACCAGAGCCAAGTCTGGGCCAGCTCTGCCCACCCTGGGCTGTGTAACTGGAACACAGCTTCACTCTGTGGGTCTCCCAGATGTGCAGTGCTCTCCAGGGTGACAAAGAGGATGGACGACACTGACCTCAAGCTGCTGCACGGAGTACGTGCACATTGACCATGCCTCCTTAAAGGCCTGGCTTTGAGGGCTATTTACAAATAAGCCTGTCAGTGACAGCTAAAGTGCAGCCTTCTCCTGGGAGTGTTGCAAGTAAGCTGCTGCCGGTGGGAGGATGGGAGGAGGGAGGAGGAGCTGTCTCAACGGGCAGGGGAGGGCAGGGGTGGGGGAAACATGAGGTGGTCAGAGCTGCCCCGCAAAGCCAATGGAGGGGGAGCAGGCCTTCGTGGCTGGGGAGGGACATGAGCGACCACACCTCCCAAGGAGATCAGCACGCAGCCTGGTGGAGCTCATGGCAAAGACAAGAACTCTGTGAAGGCTGCTGGCTACTGGGTGCTTTGTACAGACTAAAAGCTTTCTGCACAGCGGCTCTCCGCTCTGAGCAAGAGGCCAAGTGACCTGTCCCAGGCCATGCAGCTGGCCAGCCACAGGGCTGGAGGTGAACTTTGAGCCTGAGTTCTGCCACGCTGCCTCTTGAGGTTGGGATGGACCATTTCTGTCCTCTCCTGCCTATAGAGGTCCCCAAGGGTGGGACTGGCTCTAGCTTGTCTCTGTAGCCCCGGCACCCAGCACGTTACACAAATGCAGCAAGCATTGGCCAAATGACTCACTTGAAAACACTTCTAAAAGCTACTGTCGGAGCTCCGCAAATGTAATAGGGGCAGAAAACTGTAAGGACCGATTCCCTTCTGAGGAACATAGCATTAACAGGGTGTTCAAGAAATTCCAAACACTTGGCTTCTTTGTCTAGAAAATTTGAGCACCAAAGTCCCTCCACAGTGCAATATATTAGGGTCTTCTGCTCCCCCTTGACGTGCAGGAGAGCCTATGGCGACATGGCACGAGCAGAGCAGACTATCGGCCGAGCCTCCTCCTGCCCGACCCTAGATCTTACAGGTGAGGACACTGACGGCCAGAAGGAAGAAGGGACCTGAGATCACAAAGCAGGCCTACCCTTTTTTTCCTACAGAAAAGCTTGCCATCGCAATAAAGACAAACACATTCAACGCACACATCCTGAACACCTGCTGTGTGTTGTAGGCAGTCGGTGCGGCCGAGTGCTAGAACAGAGTCCTAAACAAGCCGTAAGGGACCCTGGGGCCTGAAAAGTTACTTCTGTGTAAGGGAGTCAAGGAAGGCTTCACTGGATCGGTGACTTGGATCACAAAGAACAAGTTAGAAGTTTTATGGGAAAATGTGTCAGGGAAAGCTAAGCTTCCTCTAAAACATGGCGCCGCCCTGGCTAAGTGTAGGCTTGCTGCTGGGCAGCCACCACCTGAGCAAAGACTACATTTCCCAGCCTCCTATGCAGCCAGGTGGGGCCATGTGACTACCGGTGGCCAATGGAACTTGAGCAGGAGTGGATGGAGCAAGAACAGTGGAGAGGAACGTGGTTAAGAATGGCTGTGCCTTCTCCACCGCCCCTTTCCCCTTTCTGCCAGCAAGAAGCAAAGATGCTGAGGTCCCTGGGGATGACAGGGCCACAAGGTGAAAGGAACTGGGTCCCCAAATTACAGTGGGAAGCCGCCTGCCAAGCAGAAGCAGCCATACCGGACTTCATGTGAGGATAAGTCTACCGCGTTGGAGTTTGTTACAGCAAGAGCATCACCAACTACGAAAGCAGAGAAGAGAAGGGAAGACAGGCATTTGGGGCAGAGGGAATGTGACAAAGGCACGGTGGTGTGACCAACCGAGGCATGTTCCAGGGAATGGGGAGGAGTTGATGGTGGCTGGAGCACGGGCTACGTGAGGGCAGCACTGGGATTCAGAAAGCTCACGCTGGTCACCACAGGAGGGAGGATCATGTACAGGGATTGTTTCCTGGGGCCCTGGTGTTGCTGGCACTGCTCTCAAAGGAAGAGTGGAAGTTGTGAATGGTTTCCTGTAAAATTTGTCTCTCGCGTCCCTGTGGAGGAAATAAAAAACAGACACAATGTCTTGTTAAATCTTTTAACTCTTAGTTCAATTGACAGTGTTGGTATTGCTCAACTCATACTTGAGAAACCCATGGGTATGGTGGGGAAAATAAATTATCTAATTAAAAGAGTACTGAGTTTAATAAAAACACGCTGGCTCAGAATGTCCCCCAGCACCCACAATCCCAGCAGGTCAAGGCTGGAAAGGGCCCCCAACATGTAGGGGTCCAATCCCCCAGACAACGACAGGACACAGAGCCCAGGGAGTAGGACTGACTTGGCCCACGTCACAAGGCCTGGAAGGGAGGTTGCCTCCCAACTCACTCTGTGTGTCTTTCTAGCTCTCAGATTTCCAGGGAATTGAGTGGGAGCGGAATTCTTTCTGCTACACAGGGAGTTTGAACTGCTGTACTCCCCCTTGCCCAAAAGATGTCAGATTGCTCTTGGCAATGATTCACATCTCACTCCAGCCCTGCAGCATTCCCCCCACAACACTACCCCTTAACGCACATGTTTTGAGATGGGAAAAAAGGGAGGATGTGGATGTTTCTTTCAGCCCAGAGAACATCTTCACTGAATACCTGGCCGGGAGGCAGTAATACACAGAGACCAGAGACTGGAACCAAACAGCCTGGGTTCAAATCCCATTCCTCCCATTTACTAGCTGAGTGACCCTGAGCAAGACACTTAGTCTCTCTGGGCCTTAGTTTCCCTATCTATAAAATGGGGATAATAATAGTACTCAAATGGTTGCTGGTGACATCAGATCCTGTGTGGGCAGCAGGAGGCTGACAGGTCCTGTCCTCCAGAGGATAGCAGTGTGGACTAAACACATATTTTTTAAAACCAACAAATGTGATCAAAATGTAAAGCAGATTAAAAATGAATAATCTTTGGCAGACTGTTCTCTGCTAAGAGTAAAAGGGAAAAAAAGAAGTCCACTGAGTGAGCTCAGACTTCAAATTCTTCTTTCATTTCGTGGACTCTTCAGGCCCCAGGGGACCCCTCCATGAGCCCTGAGCCGGGACCTCTACCACCATCCAGGCCTCCTAGACACTTGAGCAGGCAGTAAGACTGCCCGGCATGCCAATCCTTCCAATTAAGTTAAATAAGCTAGAAAAATACCCCCCGGAGTCCAGCAACACAAACCTAAAGGTTGCAGGGCAGAGGGCAAGGCAGGGACGTGGGGTCAGAAGACGGCGAGTCCCTATTCAACAGTTCCCTCGCAGTGGCGTCCCAGGCAAGACCCCGCGCTGCTGGACTTCTTATCTGCAAATGGCAGACAGGAGGACATGCTGGGACTGTGAGGAGGCTTGACCCGGGATAATGAACGGGGTGACACTGGGCAAACTGCAGAAGGCTGAAAAACTAAACAGGAGCAACGATGGCCATGTGACTATGACATACTACCTTAGCCTGAACCACCTGAGAGACGAGGTCAGGGCCAGCCAGGGTTCCAGCACTCTGCCTCCTACTAAGGAGAGAGCCCTAGACAAGGAAAACCGTAACTGTTCCCCGCGTCCATGCTGACTGAAGACGATGACAATAATTGCCCCTTAGAAGCCCTTGCGCTTCAAAGGACCTGCCTGATAATTCCTAAAAAGCAAAAAGCGAATGGCCATGAAACGTAGAAAAACGTGTTCTGTCTAACCAGTAGTTAAAAAAATACAAATTAAAACGAGGCACGCTTTTTGGCCTCCAAATTAATAAACATCTAAGAGCAAACCGAGAGCACCCAGTGCCGGCAGGGATCTGCTGACGCGGAGCCACATGCCCCCAGGTGGTGGGAAGTTCACTGGCTCTTTCTGGAAAGTAATTCAGGAGGAAGTGCCCTATACCTTGATTTAGACTCTTTGACTCCATGAGTCCACTTTTAGACATCTATTCTGAGGAGATAATTAGAAAGCCTTATACACAAAGTTGCCCACTGCAGCACTATTAATAGAAAGTTCGGATATCCACATATCCAACAAGTAGGGATTTAAAATAAGGTAATTTTAGTACATCCATGCAAATGTATTCTATTAAAAAGAGTTTTTAATGACACGAGTAACTGCATATATTTAATGTTAAATGAAGAAAGGAGGAGGTAAAATTATAGATCCAAATTTATCTCCGCAGAGAAAAATATTTGGCAGCAAACACGAGGCACACATTTTGGCCTCCAAATTCACATTTGGGTGATCTTCCCAAATGTGAACAGCACTGGCCTCTGGCTGGTTGGATCATGATTCCTCTAAGAACTCTTTTGCCCTCTTTGGCACTGTGCAAACTTCGTAAAATGAATGTGTGCTGCTTTGATAATCACACACACACACAAGATGGCAAGCCTGCAATGGCTTTGGACCAACGAAAGGTGAAATTCAGGTGAAGTTTCTGGTTGACCTTCTCCAACATATAAACTGTTTGAAACAAGTCAACTAATAAGCCCACTCGAGTACACATCACAACTTGCATACTGGCGGTGGGGGGTAGGCTCAGCCGGAAGGCCTGTGGCTTGAAAGGCTGTGGACCCATGCTGCTTTCCTGGTATTTTCACCAACAGAACAAAACAAACATAAAACCTTTTAGGTTAAAATGTTCTATTTTCTGACTGTGCAAGAAACACATTTTAGGTTATAACCTTGTTACGTGTAAATACATACAACTGAAACAAATTTTACCCTCCTACCTGCAAATAATGCTGACATTTTCTACGCTATTCTGTTTTTTAAAATGCTGCTGGGGAACCACTAAATTGGGTCCACAACCCCCCACTATGCTGTGGACCACAGCCATGAAGACACTGGTGGACAAGGAAAGCTGGGCCTCCCTCCCTCGGGTCCTGGTCTGGGTTCTTGAATGTGTCCAGAGCATCAGACCCACCAAGGGGGTCCCTCTTGGCTGAGGCTGGGTTGCAAAAGAGAAAGTATGAACGTCAAAGAGGGAGTGGACACCTGTAGCCATCAAGAAGGAGGCAGGATGCCCTGAAGTCGGGGAGAGGCGGGGCCAGCCCAGAAGAGCTGAGGCCCAGGGCCTCCAAAGGCCATCCAAAGGGCTCCTGGAAGCCAGGATCGGCCTGAGAACTTCTTTCCTCTAAGAAGCAGTGCATAGCTGCAATGGTCACCCCGGGGTCAAGCTGTTTTTGTGATCTTTAGCTTCTCCGAGTCATGCTTTTGCTCTAGGACACGCTGTGATGCACGGTCCTTACGTCCACTGGACTTTGCTTGGTAATTCAGACCTTCCCTCTGCCCCTATTTCCATGTGGAACTGGCTGACTTTGAGGGTAGATGCTGCCCGTGGGAGGGACGTGGGTGGGATGAGCCGGCCCTTCGGTCTGGTGGGTCAGAAGCACCCAGGTCTCTTGGTTGAGAGCTGGTCAGCTGGCACCCAGCCCCCCAAAAGATCACTGTTAAGGAAGGAAGGTGTCCCCACCACCCAAACTCGTATGTTGAAACCCCAGCCCCAATGGGATGGTGTGAGGTGGTGGGGCCTTTGAGAGGTGACGGGGCTTGGATGAGGTCACAGGGTGGGACTCTCACGATGGTAACAGTGTCCCTAGAAGAAGACAGAGGAAAGACCTCGCTTCCCTGCTCTCTGCCGTGTGACGACACGATAAGAAGGTGGCAGTGGGCAACTTGGAGGGGGACCCTCACAGATCTCAACCACGCTGGCAGATTGGTCTGGGACTTGCAGCCGCGAGGCTATGAGAACCAACTCCTGCTGTTCCCAAGCCACCTGGTAGATGGTCCTTGGAGATGCAGCCTGAACTGAGAACCACGAACCTGTTGATGCTTCTGCTTCTCTAGGCTGGACCTTGTTTGGTGCAGCACACAGACTGCTACAGGAATAGAGCATGGGGGCAATGAATGGGAGAGAAAATGAAAAAGGTCCCGGTCTGGGCAAACATTAAGAAAGATGTTCTCCTCTGGAGTTGGCTTGAGCTGCCACATCACCCACTCGGATCGCAGCTGTTAATGTTCCTGGGATTTGCAAGCCAGTCCCGTCTGCCTCCTTTCTGTGATCCTGGGCCATAAAGGCCATGATCACTGAGGGCAGAAGGGAGGCTTTGGAAGCATTAGCAGCTACCATCTACAATGCCCTGGGCTAGGCTCTTAGTGACACCCAGCTCCTGGCCTGTCCTCCCAACCCCTCCATGGTCCTCACTGGTGCTACATCTAGAACCTTTCCTGTCCTTCTTCAACTGGCTTGGCTTCCCCCACTTCCATGCTCTCTTTGGCTCACACGTCTGGCCTCTGGAGGCCAGAAGCAGGAAAGGTCCTGCAAACCTTGGGCCAAATCCCCCTACCATCACTCAGCCACCCGCTCCCCAAAGCCCTTGCCCTTACCTGACTGGGTCACCCTCAACCACCTGGGGGCCCCATCTGTCCCATCCGGGCTCCCCGCACACCACACCGCCTGCTCTCAGGTCCAGCACTCCCTGGGTTCTTGAAATGTACTGTACCTCCGCTCACCACAGGGACTTTGCATACAAGTTTCCCTCTGCCTGGTCTGCACTCTTCTACCCTCTACCCAAAATTTCCCATCTTTCTTTCCATCCCAGCCCTCCTGCCACTTCCTTGGGGATGTCTCCCAGGACCTTGTCTTTCCAGCCCTCGCTCAAGGTCAGGAGCCCTCCTTCATATGCATCTGTGGCTTACACCGAGGCAGGGCAGCATAGTGGTCAACAAACCAAGTCCAGGTTCTAATTCTGGCTCTGCCACTTACCAGTAGTGTGATCTTAGTCCAGTTCCTTAACCTCCTTCTGCCTCAGTTCCTTCACTTATGAACTGGACCCAGCCTCAGTGGTTTTTGTGAAGTTAAGCAAATGACTAGACATGACTGCTGAGAGCAGTGCTGGGCACAACGTAGCCTCAGAGGTCAACATCCACGTCATGCTTGGGACATGGCAGAGAAACCAAGGGCTACTTTTCATGACTAAATCAATGCTCCAGGGGTGCCTGGGTGACTCAGTTGGTTAAAGCCTCTGCCTTCAGCTCAGGTCACGATCCCAGAGTGGAGGGATTGAGCCCCACATCGGGCTCTCTGCTCAACGGGGAGCCTGCTTCCATCTCTCTCTGCCTACTTGTGATCTCTGTCTGTCAAATAAATAAATAAATAAAAATCTTCAAAAAAATCAATCAATAAATCAATGCTCCAAAGACTAGTGCTTGCTCTGGTTCGTCGATGCCCCAGAACCACCCTGGGGCTTCAACTCCCTGGCTAAGCCCTTACTACCATCCAAGACTGGCCCACTTCTAGCAACTTCCAGCAACTCCCATACCCGCCTCACCCCCCTGTCCCCACCCTGCTCTTCACATCTCATAGCAGAGCCGAAACAGTGCTGGTCTGGGAGTTGGGGCTCACTATCTACCCCTGAGCCTCAGCTTCCCCGTCTGTAAAGCGAGGCAGCCTGGGCCCACGGAACAGATGAGCTGTGTCTAGCAATGGGCCACTTACAGAAGAAAAAGAACAGACAGTAAAAACTCAAGGTAAAACACAGGTGCCAGAAGCACTGCCAACTAAATCACTTGAAAGGACCACCTTGCAGCCTATAAACAGGTGAAAGAGTAATGATGATGGCGACAGCAAGAGGCCCGACCCCATCTCCCCCCAACCCCAGTGGGGCCGGTAGGAGCCCCCCATGCCCAGCACGTGCTGGGGGGACATACGAAGAGGACCCGGGTGCAGGTCCTGCCTCGCGTGCCTGCCCGCCTCTCCACCTGGGCACACGTCCTTCCCCGAGGCTCTGTTCCCTCGTCAGCTGGACAAGGCAAGTGTGAAGATCTGGCCTCCGGATTAACTGGGGAAATGTATGGGAAGTGTCTTGTGAATGATAAAGGGTTACATGAATATTTATTTGCTGCTGGCACTCTAAGTCTATTCAATATTTCTGTGCCTACCCAGCAGTACACAGAAAGAACCGTAAGACCGGTCACGCTCTCTGACACGACCTCGAGTTGTGGAACACAGCCCGAGGAACAAAACAACAGAAGAGAAAGGAACAAGGCAGAGATATCCATTATAGGGCTATTTGTAATGGCAAAACCCCAGACACGGCGTGATTGTCTAACAAGAGGGGGCTGTCAGGCCGAGCGTGAAACAGCAACAGGTAAGCAAGTCCTATCCCTTGTTGGAGACAGAAACGTCCTGCCCACATTAGGGAAGAAACCAGGAAGCAAAGGAGCTTGAATAGCCCAATAGCAACTGGGCTAAGGTTTGCCAAGTGAGTGGTGATTCGCTTCTCATGCTTTTTTTTTTTTTTTAATTGTTTCTTGCATGTGTGCTTTGATGGGGGTGCCTTGTTAATCTTTGGTTTAAAGCTGGTGAAACAGAAATTTAACATTAGACAAAAATGTAGAATGCCAACAATAACAACAGTGATTGACAGGTCTGTGTGTGGCAGGGGTGCTGCTAAGCATTTTGGTCCTGGCAACGACCCCACAGCCCCCAGTGGATGAGAAAAGCAAGGCTCAGGGAGGTGATGACTTCTAGGGGACACAGTGAGTAAGAGGAGGAGCGGGCTCACCCCCAGGAGGGCCTGATTCCAGGGCCCCTCTTAGACGACAGCTTTGCTTCCACTGTACGCTGGAGGGCAATACACAGCCGTGTGGGTTGAAATGACCACAGGGAGTCTTTTTGCTATCTCTATGGGAAGAGAGATCTGGAAAAGGAACGAGGAGGTGGGGAGCACTCGATGGTAAGGAGTGTGCACATGGGGCCGCCTTCTGCCAGATGTGCCAGAGGAGACAAAATCAGACCACAGATGTCCTCGGGAACACGGAGGGCTTAGTAAGGCTCCTAGCGGAGCTCTCCGCTCTTTGAAACGGGAGGAGAAGATCAAGAACAATACCTTGCCCGCATTCAGTTCAGAAATCGCTGCCAGGATCTGCTGCCTGGATCCGTCTGTCTTAATACCCAGCTCCTTCAAGTCGCCATCGGTGAGCGTGAGGAAGGCTTCCATGTCCACCTGGAAAGAGAGAAGGGGGATTCGTTACCATCTGCTGGGTGCCACGCCTCATTTTTCCCCCCATCCACACCAGAAATATCATGATTATGAGCTATTAGTGCTTATTAGCAGTGAATTAATTATGATTTACTTTACGATGACTTTATGATGAAAGTTTAGTTGAAAGGATTATGAAGGACTAATTCTCCTCAGCTCTAGGCCCGGGCATCCTGGGACAGGCGCACTGTGGAAAGACTCGGGCCATTGCACAAAGAAGGGGAGTCTCTGAGAGCATAATCTGGGTGGCCGGCATGCTGCAGATCCAAAGCTGCTCTTAGAATTTCGATCCCAGGTGGCTGCACTTGCCCAGAGATCGGAAACCGCACAGAAAATGCACATATATGGCGGGACTCAGCATGTTTCCCCCACCGAGGACCAGGGAGAGGTAGACTGTGGAAAGACTGAGTGAGCAAGTCAGCAAGCAGAAGTGATAAAGGGAAGAAGGGCACGGAGAACCGAAGCTGAGAAGGGCTCAGAACAAGAGCATCTCAAAGCCACACGACCCTTGGCTGCTATAGGGAAAACCCTGACATTTCTGTCATCCCAGCTTGGGCCTCAGCTCCAGGCGAAGAACCAACAGGTTGCCCTGCTATGTGGCTGTTATGTTGCAGTGTCTGTCCTGCTCAGAGGCAGCAAGCACAGCAGGTGGAGGCCGACTCCACACACCCCAGGTCTGTCCCAGAGCCTCACTGTCAGGTGACGACGGGAGGACACAAAAGCTAACACTATGTGAGGCACTTTCTGACTATTTGGCACAGACTGAGTCGTTTAAGCCTTATGACATAAGATGAGATGATTATTATCCTCTGTTTGGGGGAATGGGGAAACTGAGGCACAGAGAGATTCAGTCCCCAAGGTCACATGACCAGTCAGTGAAAGCCAAGACTGGAACCCAGGCTGTGGGCTCCACAGTACCTCCTCTTCTCTGAGGGGCCACGTCACCCTTTGATGCTGCAGCTGTAGCCACTGACCTCCCTCCTGTGGTTTCCTGGGGGCAACGGCCTCCTTGCTAATGTGACCTGATGTTCCCTAAGAATTAAGGGGTTCTGTCCCCTGTATGTGCCCTTGCAAATTAGACCCCAAAATGGTAGTCATCAGGGAGAAGTGGAAGGGAGCTGGCTGCCCACAGCCGCCTCTCCAGCCCGTGCGTGGGACAGAGCCAGTGCTGCCTGGACGCAGACAGGGCCTCGATCCCCACTTGCTGCTTACCTCAGTTTCCCACCTGAAATGTATGAATCCTCCCCCAACCTAACTTACTGTGGTTGTAGGGTCTACCCAGAGGGCTTCCATGAAGCTTTGCAAACTAAATAAATTACAAAAACATTATAGTTTTATGTAATATAATATTGCTGTCATTTAAAATAAAACTCTCATAACTTATTGAAAACCCTTAGTCCTTTACTTTAAAAGCAGGCTTGTTTTCTATTCCCTCAGAGATACTGAACAAGATTTTTAAAATTTTTTCTTTGAAACATTTGATGCATGTGGAGATAGAGGAATTTTTTTCTGAAAAATGTCCCCCATCTTTCCTTTTCTGTTTTAAATAGTCATTTTACTTTCCTGGATTAAAACAACCCTGAAGCAGACGTGAGTTGGTGGGGAAGGGTCTGCTCCGACCCCAGCCCTAAGCCCTGGGAGGTGCCTCCCTGCGTCTCTCTGGGACTTTACAGCTCAAAAGGGGCTGAGGGCCTGAAAGAGCAGATGACATGGTTTTGACAGACACTGCCTGCCCCTGGCTGGGCCGGACACTCCCCACGGTCCCACCCCCAGCTTGTCCCCATGGCCAGCTCCTCAGCACCTCTTGCCTATGGTACCCCCCACCCCGGCCACCCTCTTCTGACTGGAATCTCCTTTCCTGTGAGTCTGCCCCTAACTCCCCCATCAACCCTGGTCCACCATTCATATCAGAGGCCAGAGATCTCCGGACCACGGTGCACAGATCACGTCCATGCCGGCCAGGCCCTGCCCAGTCAGGCTCCGCTCTCTGCCCCAGATGCACCAGCCTCATTCAAGCCCTGAACAGGCCAAAGTGCTGATGGCTCTCTGCGCATGTCTGCTCCCTCTTCCCAGACGCCCTTCTACCCTGCTCCCTCCCTCGAAGGTCAGTTTATGCTCAGCCAACATCTCCTCTGGCCCTCATTCAATAAGGACGCCCTTCCTGGGCTCCCAGAATGCTCTGGGCATTTCTGCCATTGCTAGGGTCAGGCTCTGGTAGAGGGCCTGATAGAGGGGAAAGACCTGAGCTGTGTTTGCTGGCTGACTGAATGACCACACCAGTCAATATGCTACTGCATCCCCAGATAAACGGACCTTCTCAATCTCTGACCTCTATCAACCCTGGGGGCTACCAAACCCTCACAGCTCATTTTAGGTGGAGAGAACCAGAGACTAAATTCTCCTCACGTGAGCACTTCTGAAGGGTTAGCAGGATGAGGCAGAAACATCTGTGTCCTTTCAATATTCATACCCTACTTTTTTTTAGTAATACTTTTTTTTTAGTAATAGAATCTTAGTTGTCAGCTAGGCATTTCCATGAAGCTAAAGAACTATATTTCTGAGTTTCCCTTGCATATGAGTATGTCAATTGACAAACTTTTGGCTAATGAGATATAAGAAGGTTTATGGTACTTTGAGGAAGTCTCTCTAAAAAAAGGAGAGCAGGTATCATTTTGCTCTCTCCTTCCATCCTGCTGCCTAGAATGTGGAGGTAATGGCTGGAGCTCTAGCAGCCATTCTGGACTTTAAGGATGAGGGCCATATACACTAGTGGAGCAGAGAGCTAGAAGGAGATTTGGTGACTCAACTGAACACCTTCTGTGGGAAAAATAACCTTCTATTTTGTTTAAGATACTACTACCTGGGATTTTTCAATATATGTAGCTAAATCCATCCAAATACAGGTAGAGAGATGAAAATTATTAGTCTGCTTCAGTTTCAATATTGAGAGGATGAGAAAATATATTTACTTCATTCTTCTTCCAATTTCTCAAAAAGGACTAAAAGCATATAAAGGGAAGACATTTTTATGAGCCCTGGAAATAAGGGAAAAGTACTATCTGCATGCCAGGTACTTTAAGGAGTTTCTTAAGGACTGAGAAGTGCTCTATAGCTGCAGGGATGGATGTGAAGGGGAGGGCAGGGGCAATCCATGATGTTAAAACCCGACTCCCATTAAAGCCTTCCAGGGAACACGAGATCTCTGTATGGACAGACGGCAACTCTCACACAGTGCTGTCGAGCTTCTATGTGGTCCAGTGGGGAGCTCAGCACAGCTGGACAGCTGAGCTGGTTCGGTTAACCTCACCCCACCTGACACAAACAGAAAGCCTCCAGTCAGTGGCTCCCAGCTCTCCCCACAGGGCTGCCCCAGGCCTCAGCACCCTCCCCGACCCCAGAGGCTGTGGAGACCACAGAAACTCTGCATAGTCTCCCCTCCCTCTAAAACTCTGAAAGTGTCATATTTCATCAGGAACATACCTCAGTTCCCTATAAGGGACAGCGGCAAGAACCAGAGAATAGTGAATGACAAATGTGCCCCCAGACACGCCGGCTCCCAAATGGGGATGCAACTAAGAACCCAGGACGAATGTTGCCTTGTGACACAGAGATACCTCAAGAAACAGAAGCACACCTTGAGATGTGTTCCCTGCACACTCCAAGAGGGCGCGGAACACAGCACACAAAGGCAGGCCGCCAGCAGTGTACGGGAAAGATTTCTTGGTGATGAGAAACATCGCTGTGGAGGTTTAAAACGCTGGAGAGGCAGGAAGGACCCACTGGCTACGGCAGGAAAGTAAGGGAGGAAGAAGGCTGCTTCACTCTGTCAGCTGCTCAAGACAAAACGCCAGTCCCTCAGCAGCATCTCAAGCTTACAGGGACAGTGAGCGAGTCTCAGGACTGCCACTGTCATGATGACCGTTGTCACAGGCTCGACCGGGCCCCAGAAATATTCCAAACCAGTGATTACACCAGCTGACTAGTGGGCCTACAGAGGAGTTTATGGGGCCAAAATGGTCAGTTTTTTCAAAAACTTGAGCTATAACTCACTCACAACACAGTCCGCCCATTTGGAGTGTACAACTCCTAAGGAATTCGTCAGTGGTACAGTGACAGCAATGTAACGGGACGCAGGGCAGCTACGCTTGTGGTGAACACAGGGGAAAGGATAAGCCTGTCAAATCGCCAAGCTCCACACCTGAAATTAACGCAACACCGTGTGCAACTATACCCAAGGAAAAAATCTTTTTAATTAAAAAAAGAAAGCAGACGATTCAGTGATTTTTAGTATATTCCGAGTTGTGCAACCATCACGCTCAATTTTAGAACATTTTCATCACTCCCCAAAGGAACCCACACCCGTATAAGCAGTCAGTCCCCATTCTCTCCTCCCCCCACTCCTTGGCAACCACTAATTACTTTCTGTCTCTACAGATTTGCCTATTCTGGACATTTCATATAAATGGAATCACACCATATGTGGCCTTTTGTGTGTGGCTTCTTCCCTTCAGCATGTGTGTTCCAGGCTCTGCCGTGTCATAGTGTGTGTCAGCACTTTCTTCCTTTTTATGGCCGAATTATATTCCATTGTACGGCAGTAACACATCTGGCCAGTCACCAATTAGTGGGCATTTGCGCTGTTTCCCACTTGTTGGCTATTATGAATAAGGCTGCTATGTGCAAGTTTTTGTGTGGACATATGTTTTCAGTTCTCTTAGGCCCACGCCCAGGAGTGGGATTGCTGGGTCACATGGTAATTCTATGTTTAACATTTTGAGAAACTGCCAAACGGCAGAACGGTCATTTTTTTTTTTTTTTTAAATGTGATTGTGAGCACTTTTCAGCAAAGGACTCTCTCGGATTAACACAGACATCCTACATCCAGGCACTCAGCCCAGAGTCACTAGGATTTGCTTTTGACCTGCATTAGATCTAAAAGCCTGTCAGTCCATCCCCTTCAACAAAAGTGTGTGCAGGACAGACACAAACTTTACTAGCGAGAGCAGTGCGCAAAATAACAAAATTCTATTACAACAAAACAAGCCATAAGGCCCCCAGGATTTCACTGTGATGAACTGAACTAAATGTGCGGAACACAAACTCCCATTTCCTCAGCTGTCTCAGTGAAAAAGATCAATCTATGCTTGCAAGATAAAAACCCATATATTTGATTTTTTTTTACAGTAATATTTGATGGACATTCAAAAATAACACTTACCTCTTGCTCCTCAAAAATGGGCTGATATTTCTCAAGTGACAATTTCTTAAGGATTCCAGTCAGTTCATCTTTGAGAGGGAAAGATGTGAAGATATTTTAGAATTTGGCAAAATGCATCAGAACAGTGGTCTTCAAACTCATAAAGCAGTGGCAACCTTATCTCAAATAAAATGTCACAAGAAACTCCCAACACGGAAAGCAGATCGAAGTTCAGCTTGTGGGGATGCAGCCCACCTGTCAGCCACGCCTCCCCTCAGGGCACGCCCCTGGCATCTCCCCATCCCCAAACCCCAAAGTGGGAGCTGGACAGAGAAGATGGGGAGATTTGTGGCCAGGTGACCCTCCAATGGCTGTCATCTCCAAGCTCTTGGGGTTCTAGCTGCTGGGACTAAACCTCCACTTTCTGTCCAAGAACAGCTTTTAATTATGATTTCTTGACTGCTGGTAGCCGCACCTGCAGCAAATGCTAATGCCAGCAAGTTGTCAGCGAGGCGGAGGAGAAACTTAAGAGAACAAGCAGGTGGCTTCAGACCAGAACTGGAGTTTGGCTCAGTGTGAGGAGGCTGTGGGCTCCCCGAAGGAAGGATGGATACATCTGAGTGGAAGAGCAGAGCCAGAAGGCCAAAGAGCTGGGGAAAACAGAAAATTTTGGATAGTAAGATTTCAGAGCAGGGAGGGTGAAGAAGGAGACAAGACTAGCATCGGTGGGGGGTGGGGGTGGCTTGAAAAAATATTCATTCACCCATTCGATGGGGATTTACTAGACTAGGCTCTAGGGACTCAACAGAGACCAAAACAGATAAGCAGGCTGCCAGGCCAAAGGCAATGAGGACGAATGAAGCAGGGTAGGGGTAGATGACAGAATGGGAGAACATTGTTTATTATAGAGTGTGGTTAACGAAATGCTCCTTTATAAGGTACCATTTGAGCAGTAAATGAAGGAATTAATTGTGTAATACTAAGGAAAAGATCAGCAGGCAGTATTCAGGCAGAAGGAAGAGCAAGTGCAAAGGTCCTGGGGCCATGGGTGCAATTCATAGAAGAGTGGACAGGAGGTTAGGAGGCCCGAGTTCATTTTTTTTTTTTTTAAAGATTTTATTTATTTATTTGACAGAGAGATCACAAGCAGGCAGAGAGGCAGGCAGAGAGAGAGGAGGAAGCAGGCTCCCCTAGAGAGCAGAGAGCCCGATGCGGGGCTCGATCCCAGGACTCTGAGATCATGACCTGAGCCAAAGACAGCGGCTCAACCCACTGAGCCACCCAGGCGCCCCCTGAGTTCATTTTTTAACTCATTCATTCTACAGCAGCTACCAACATGCCTACTACATGCTGGGAGTGCAAGGATGGAAAGGTCTGTGCTGTGAAGGAGCTCAGTGTGGCTGGGGAGATAAAATACGGAGGCTGATGCACCATCAGGCACCCTGCACATGGATAACCCATTTGCTCTTTACAACAACCACACAAGTGGCATCCTATCATCGTCCCCATTTACAGATGAGGAAATGAGGTGTCAAAAGGTGGGCTACCACGTCTTGGATGAGATTGTACTGCTGGTCCATGGCAAAGCAGGAATTCACACTGAGTGGTCCAGCTCCCTGGCCTGCACTGCACATTCCAGCCCTTCCACCACGTCTCTCACTGGGGACAAGTGCTATGACAAGGGGTATCAACAAGGGAATCTGGGGACAGGGGGGTCGCTGACCAGCCTGAAGGACTGGAAAAGGCTTCACAGGAGAGTGTCACTGAGCTAGGATGGACGAGAGGAAACAAGTCCCAGCCCGTACAGAAGCCACTGACAGTTTTATGACGCCAATGCTTTGCTTCTGCTGTTCCCTCCACGGACGCAGCCTTTCCCCATAGTAGTGTGCTGCTTAGGTGGCTAATAGCCGGCTCTCTGAGGGAAATGCATGTGCGTACGGAGGTGGCTATGTAAGTTTATTGCAGATTTTACTGAGGGACACGTGTAAGGGACATATAGCACCCAATTTACATTACAGTAATATACCACACAACATTGGTTCTTACAAATTCTGTATCGCCAATGCTTGCGGCATCTCAGGCACCTCACTGAACGCTCGCACTGATTTTTGCCCTCCTCTTAGTCCAGAGCCAAGGACTACAGTCCCTACACAGGTGTTGCAGGACTGTTTTGTTTACAGGAACATGGAAGATGAGACGGAACAATGAGGATGCATATAGGACCTTCATGGGAGCAAGTCCACTGTGTGAGGTAATGGTTTTAAAATCCTGAAAGACTGTTTTCTCAATTTTTTGTGCAAGTCACACATTTAACTTTCTCCAACATTGTCTAGATGACGTCAGAGGCTCTAGGACACAACAAACTAAACCCTGACTGGTGGCTGTTTGCTGACGTCATGGAGTCAATGCCCCCTGCTGGCTGATTTCAAGCCACCAGCATAACCCGTGTTCCTGAAAGTGGAACTGGGAAGGGATGTGCATAGTGGAGTCTCGTTACGTAGTATTTTCTACTGCATAAAGAGCACAGACGTTCGTAAAATTAAAGTTAATAATATATTTTTGTTTTAAATACCTTGTATTTTTAATTTAATTAGTGTAACTATGAAAATACATGTAATTAGACTTTTTTTGGGTTCTTTCATATGTGTTTTTATATAGATTTACATATATATTGTGTTTTTTCCTTTATATAACATATATACATATATTTTTATTATACAGGTATTATATATAATACACACACAAACACACACACATAGGTGTTATCGCTTTGTTGTAATTTGACTTTTAACAGCTGTGTTTAATCACTGGCTTGTATATTTCCTATAAATTTGATGACTGACTCTGGTCCGCAACTGCCCCGCCTCTCCTCAGCCCTCTGGCCTGAAGGCCTGCTCTTCGGTGAAGCCCAGCTATCCCGAGCTCTGCTGCTAACCCAGATTGGCTCCCATCTGTGTCACAATCCTGTACTGCTCTTCTGTCGCCTGCACCCGAATCCCCAGCCAGACTGTGAGCCATCCTAACACCCAGACAGGTGATGTCACCCACTGCCCAGGCTTCTCCCCTCCCCAGAGAGGGAGTCTCGAGAGGGCGGCTGGTGGAAAGATGGGGCAGGACAAAGGCTTGCGTGTAGTCCGCAACTAGGGCCACATTTCCCACACAAATGTCATAAAAAGTAGCTGTCTGGGGGCTGGATTGCAGCTCTGTCCTGTGACAATCTCATGGCCACAGGACAAAGGTCCTGCTGCCTCAGGACACAGGAAGGGAAAACCAGGCTTTCTACACCAGAGAAATTAATCCAAAAAGAAACTGCTATCAGGTCCTCTTTTGTTTCTATCATGACTAGGGCTTTGCAAACCTTTTTAAATGAAGAGGGAGAGGGGAAAAGAATAGGCATGGGCGGTGCATTCAGATATCCACAGTCTCGACAATGTTTTGCAGAAAGGTGGGGTATGAGTACCTAACTGAACCTCTAGGAGTTAGAATTCCTAAAAGCCTCCAAGGTCGGAGAATTCATGAGTGGGGAACCCAACACTCCACATAGAAAACACAGCTGGGGAGGAATGGGGTTGCTAGTGACTCTGAAGCGGTTACAAATGAAGGCATTAGAGATAACAAAATAATAAAAGCAGCCCCCAAATAAAGAGGATGCCAACAGCAGCATGCATTCATTAGCTTGGTCCGGACTATCCAGACCACAGCCAGTGCGGCTGGTTTCAGCTTGTCACCTGCTGGGCAGAGCATGCTCAGCCCCATCCTCCCCGTAGCCAGATGCCCTCGTGTGAGCGGGAGGCCCTCCAACACCTGAGATTTCTCTACCTTCTCCGACACACTACTTGATTTGCACCTGCCTGCACCTCATCTCTCACCAAAGCCCCACACCCCTCCTGCCCACCTCACGCCCCCCCGCCCCGGAACCACCAGAAGGCAGTTTAAAGGACAGGATTCTTCATCTCCCTTTGTCTTTTTTCTCTTCCTATCTTTATCTGGGACCTTGCAGCTGGGCCTCCACTCCATCATCCTTTCTGCATTGTTCCCACAGGAGGGGCTTACGTTCATGTGCCCAGGTTCTAAAGTTGTCCTGGTTACAGGGGACAGCTACTGCTTCTGCTTGCCCACCATCCATGCCCTCCTCCTTCTGAAAATGGCACTGTGACTTTCCTTTGAGGAGCCACTTCTCACCAAGTCTGCAGGGCAGACCCTGACACCAGCTACAGAGGCAGACAAGAGACCTGCGCCTGACCAATGAGCACATTCCACTGGCACGGACACACGGTCAAGGATGGACAAATGACCCATCACTGTAAAAAGAGCCAAGGCAGGCCAGTAACATTCACCCCAGGATTTTGCTGGACCTGCTCAGAAGGTAGCACACTTTCTGCTGGTGTGGCCAAGTTAGCAGGGAAAATGAGTAAGCTTGAAGTTCCTGGGGGACAACTTTGCCACCACTGAGATGAGAGAGAGCCTACCTGAGATATGGAGAAAAACATGCCCACGGTACCTGGATCAGCACATGCCTGAAGCACACCCTCAACACTTTCGCTTGATGAGTCAAACAGTTTTACTTAAACCGGTTTGAGTGGACGCTGCATTACTTGCAAATGACAGAATTCCGATTTGCACAAGGTTCAGGGCAAGGTCCATAAGTGGTATTGGAGAAGCATGTCTACAAGTGTGTGTTTGGGTATGTTCACAAAACTCACCTACGCTCAAGCACTAGCTGAGGGAGCTTACCATACCATTAGCCCAGGAAAGATAAAAATACAAGGTGGGATCAGGGAAGAAAGGGGATAGGAATTTTTGTTGGAAATTTTCAAGGCCCGACTTAGGACGGCTATCGCAATCAAGAGCACCTGCAGGTCCCAGTGGCGAAGAGGAAAGGGCAGCATTTTAGGACCTTGGCGGACTCACCCTCATCTGTGATGGTGCCGCTGCTGGAGCCCCCACTGCTCTTGGACTGCCGATGGGAAGAGGAGGAGGACACTGAGGACTCGGCCGTGTGCCCTTTGGGTGAAGGGGAGGGCGTGAGCGTAGGCGAGGTGCTCTTGGAGGGAGTGGAAGTTCCAGACGGAGGTCTTTTGCTTGTCTCCAGCTTCTGCTGAAAAGAATAAGACAAATATGTAAGCCATCACCTGGAGGGTGGGGTGATGAAAACAGACACCCGGGAGGGAGCATGGGCGCTGTCTGACTCAGCAAGGAATCCAACCAGGATCTAACCAATCTAACTATGAAATCCACTTCAAAACACAGGCAAAGCAGCAACAGTATTGTCAGAACAGTCGCGGGAAAATCCTCCCCTGGGGCAGAGAGACAGGGTGGGGGGTAAGTAGGAGGGACCAAGAGGCCCCTGAGGAGCCTGGATCCTGTGTGCTAGTCCTGCCGTACGCTACCAGGATCGAGTCCTTGGCCAAGTCCTTTTCCTTCCCAGCCAACCCAGCTCTAGACGGATGTGTGGCTTATCAATACACAAAGTCCCTTTCTGCTCCTGACGTCCCTTCATCTCACTCAGTCACTGCCAACTTTCCATCAAAGAATACATCACTTTTCCCTTCTTTGTGTGTCATTTAGCTTTTAAAAAAGTACCTTTTTATTTTCAAATAATTTTAGACTTATAGAAGACTTAAAAGATAGAACAGAGCATCCCTGTGTACCCATCCGCCAGCTTCCCCTGATGTTAACAGCTTCCGTAACTATAGCATATCATCAAAATGACGAAATTAACAGTCACGCAATACTATTAGTTAATTGATGGACTTCATCCGGATTTCACTGGTGGTTCCACTTAATGTCCTGATTCTGGTCCAGGATCCCAAGTTGCACTGACTTTTCACATCTCTTTGATCTCCTCCAATCTGTGACAGCTCAGTCTTTCCTTGTTTTTCACGACCTTGACGCTGTCGAAGAGTCGAGGAGTTTGTAGAGTATCCCTTGGTTTGGGTCTATTTTCTCATAATTAGATTTGCTTACAGATTTGGGGGCTAATGACCCCAGAGGTAATGAGCCATTCTTACTGCATCACACCAGGAGTCTCAAAGTACCCATTTCTTATTACTGATAATGTTGACCTTCATCACTTAGTTAAGGTGGTGTCTGTCCGGTTTCTCCATGAAGTTGCTAACTTTTCCCTTTAAAATTAACAAATATTTGGGGGAAGGAGGGTAGATTTTGAGCTAAATACCTTGTTGCTCCCAGTAATGTTAGCATTTTTCAGTTGCTCTTATCTGCAGCGATTACTACCGTGATAGTCTAATGATATGAGATCTGCTATTTCCTTTACCTTTATTATTTGGAATTTTGTAAGAAAGAGTTGCTCATTTTCCCATTTATCCAGTTATTTATTTCTTATTGGTATGGGTTCATGGATATTAATGTTATTCTCTGGGCTATAATCTAATAACTATTGCTATTTATTTTATGGTGATTCAAAGTGTTCCAGTTTTGCCCACTGAGATCTTTCAGGTTGGCTCCTATGTCCTTTCAACATGCCCACCTTTTAAAAATTCTTTCTTTTTAAGGGCATCTCCTTAATTTCTGACACCATAAAATGCTTTAGGCTCGTCTTATATTTTCATTGACTCAGCACTGAAATAAACCACTTCTCCAAGGCCCTGGTCCCTTTCCTTAGAGAATGGTATTTAGAAACCAAAATCTGGGTACCAGGTTGGTCGTGGCTACTGGGATGTCACTGCTGGTAGGTCCTCAACAGACAGAGCAAGGAAATAAAGTACACTGAGCCATGTATACACATATCTACATTTACTCCTGTATCAATCTGTATACATATATATACACACACATATTTACAGGCACGCATTCCTGCTGATTCATACTGACACCTCTGACAACAGTCCAACAACCATGAGGTTTGTTGTAGCATTTCCCCTTCAATTTGATCTCTGACAGTTAAAAAGGGGACTCATTATATTTACTTATTTGATCAACCCTACTATAAAGTGGATATGTATACAAAATGTACGTGTAAAGTGGCTTCAGAATTTAAACCATACCCCTACAAGAAAAATATTTATCAACTAGAGTGCAGTGTATAGTTATTTATCTTTATTTGGCCTTACCATATCTACTCGACAGTTTCCCCCCAACCCCACCTCCCAAAGTGTGGTTATGTCAGTCATTTGTAATACAGTTAGATCTCTTGTCATGGTCTGCATTCCATCTTTGGTTCTTGGTTCATACTGTTTTTTAAAATTTGCATACAGCAGAAATAATTCAGCTGTGTGCAATTCTCTGGGTTTTGAGAAATGCCAAGTTGTGTACCATAGAATAACAGTTCCATCACCTCCAAATATCCCTTGTCCTGTCCTTTTCTAGTCAACCTGCCCCTCATCCCAACCCACAGAAATAAAGGATCCCTAAGGTTCCATCCCTAAGGTTTTGTCTTTCTAAAAAACTGCATAAATGGAATTATACAATATGCAGATTTGGGGGGGGGCTTGTGCAGCAAACTGCCTTGAAGATTTACTCAAGTTACTGCATGTGTTGACAGTGTGTTCCTTTCCACTGCTGAGCGGTGTCCCATCTCATGGACATACCAGTTAATTTATCCACTTACCTGTTGACGACATGTCTCCAGTTTGGCCTATTATGGAGAAAACTGCTAGAAACATTCACAAACAGATTTTGGCATGAACAGTTTTTGAAAATGCATTTGGGTAAATACCTAGGAGGGAGAGAGCCAGTTCGTATGGTAAGTGCATATTTAGTTTTATAAGAAACCGCCAAACATTTTCAAGGTGGCTGTGCTGTTTTGCATTCCTACTGGCATCTGAGTTCGAGTGGGTCCATATGCTCACCAACACTTATATCTTTAAATTTTTATTTTTAATTTAATTTAATTTAAAATTTTTTAAAAGATTTTATTTATTTATTTGACAGACAGAGATCACAAGTAGGCAGAGAGGCAGGCAGAGAGAGAGAGGAGGAAGCAGGCTCCCTCCAGAGCAGAGAGCCCGATGTGGGGCTCGATCCCAGGACCCTGGGATCATGACCCGAGCCGAAGGCAGAGGCTTTAACCCACTGAGCCACCCAAGCGCCCCTTTATTTTTAATTTTAGCCAGCCTAATAGGTATATAGTGCTATGTTGCTGTGGTTTTAATTTGCATTTTCCCCAATAGCTATTGTTCAACATTTTCCCATATGTTTGTTTACTATTTGTTTATTTTTGATGAAGTATCCATTTTGCATATTTTTTATAAATTGTTGTTTTATTGTTGAGTTAAAAAAAAATTTTTTTTAAGTAGGTTCCATGGCCAGTGTGGAGCCCAACACGGGCTTGAACTCAAGATCCTGAGATCAAGACCTGAGTTGACACATAACCGACTGAGCCATCCAGGTGCCCCTCTTACTGTTGAGTTTTGAAAGTTATTTATTCAGTAGTTTAACTAGGATATGGCTAGGCATCTTCTTTTTTATATTAATCCTATAGTGTTTTCTGAACTTCCTGGATCTGTGATTTGGCACTTATCATTAATTTGGGGAAATTTTCAGGTACTATTTTAAGATATTCTTTCCATCCTACCATTCTCTTTCTTTGTCTTCAGGGATTCTTATTACTTGTATGTGAGAATACTTGATATTATCCCATAACTGTTTTGTTCTTGTTGTTGTTGTTGTTAACTTCTTTTTTTCTTTGTGTTCCAGTTTGGGTGATTTCTTTTACCCTGTCTTCCACTTCATGGACTCTTTCTTTGGCGGTGTCAAGCATACTGAAGAGCCCATCAAAGGCCTGCCTATCTCTGCTACCTGTTTTCTATTTCTAGAGTTTTCACTTGATTCTTTTTTAGAACTTCTATCTATCTGCTGAAATAGCTGTATGATCTTCTATGCTCAAATTTTCCATTAGAGCCTTTAACAACTGTAGTTTTTTTAAATTCACTGCCAGGTAATTCCAAGACCTGTGTCATATCTGAGTCAGATTCTGATGACTGCTGTGTTTCTTGGGAGTGCAGTTTTTCATGGCTTTTTGTAAGCCTTGTACTTTTTGGTAAAGTTAGACATCTTGACTAGGATAGTAGAGGCAAAGATAAATAGTTTTAATACATGGAAGTGGGTATCCCTCTCCTGCTAAGCCTTTAATGCTCCTTATGACTACATCCCAGAGTGGAACAAGAATCCTTCTCTTAGATTTTGAAAGACTTTGTCATTTAGTTGCCTATATTGTTAATAAATTCTGCTTTTTTATAAAGAAGGACATTCAAGGACAGCTTCTGATAAGGCAGGAGATAATTAGTATATCCCATCTAAACAGATCTATCCCAGTCAAAGCAAAGAAAAATGATACTCTGGACCTTCTGGGCAGCATCATTTGGTGGGGGTGGGGGTGGGGGGCAGACAAATACACTTATTTGGGATGCTCTGAAATATCTGAACAATTCCCTATATTCCCAGTCAATATAGCAGACTGATTGCGTTAATGGCGTCATCTCAACTCCTCCTATGTAACTCTGTGAGTTCTCCTGTAGTGGGCATGCTGACTTGCTTAAACAACCTGATTGGTTTTCAACTCCTGCCTTTGGCTGTTGTCATGAGAACATATCTAAATTTGCTGTGGGCACACATGGCTCAGTTATCCTGATCACCCTGCCAACAACCAAATGTATAAGTGATACCCCCAGACCAGAAGGACTGACTAGCTAAGTTCAGACTGAAATGCTGACCTACAGGTTCACGAGCTAAAGAAATGCATTTTGTTTTAAACCACTAAGCTTTAGGGTAGGAACGGAGAGGCGACATACTCAGTGGGACTTTGGGCTCCCAGAGGTCTGGGGAGCACTGACCCACGCTCTGACTTCCCTGATGCTTTGTCTCCTCAGGTTCACTTCAGGCTGATTCGTGAAGATGCCAGAAGCCATGCCTTGCAAATATTCCACCATTATGGTGGTGCTTGTCTTCAGCCAAGTTCAAAAACCAGATTCAGGAGGCTCCTATTTTGAATACTGATTCCTAATCCTTCCTAGGGGAGTCTTTGACAAGTACTTCATGTCTCCATTTTGCTTCTGGAGCCTTTGACAGAAAGCCCACTCCTTGTGTCCTTTGATTTAGGGCAGTGGTTTCTAGAAGCCCTGGGTTGGGCTGGCTGCAGTACTCTCTGAGGGGAAATCAGAGTCCTCAGATCCTGTCTTGAAGAGTCATTCAGTGATGCTGGGTGCAGCCACAAAACCTGAATTTTTAGACAGCTCCCCAAGCATATTGCTAGGAGTATCAGGCGATCACGGAACTAGATAGTTTTCCCAATTTGTTTCCCAAATGCTTCTTTTCATACAATCTCCTTTGATCGGAATATATTTGTATATAGATTACATGTAATAGATGCAGCCAAGTGAGACAAGAGTTAACTTATAATTTAGATGCCTACCTATTTTGAACACCAGTTAAAGGAAAAGAAGCTAACAATATCTAACACGTCATAAGATCATCCAAATAGAAAAAGAAATATGTAAACAACAGAGAAGAGGAAAATTATATCAAAACCCAGACTAGAAGACTTACTTTGGTTAGTGGCTCTGAGTTTCCTAGCAGCAAAGACAAAAAGAGAACTATAATAATTATATAATTCTTTTTATCTGAAGGAAGAAAATATATGACAGGATCAGTAGAGACATTTTTCTAGAGCAGAATTCTAAAGGGAACTAATTATACAGACCCTATCACACATACAGTTTTTCAGTATAATGGAAAATATGCTAATGCATAGGGAGAAACTTTTTCTGGAACTATATTATAAAGGGAACCTAATTATATAAGTCTGACTGCAAAAAGAACCTTGAAAAACCAAAAGTTATGTAGCCAACAGTGGCGGGCAGAAAATAAAGACTATTTCTCATATATCCGTTAGAACATCATCTCTGGAGGCACTTCTGGGCAAGGGCCCAGGGGTGAGGCTTTCAGGTGATCCAACTTTTCTCAGGGAAAAAGCTTAAGACATCTAAAAAATATGAAGAGCGGGACAGTGCTTGGACGTGGGGTCCTCTCAGAGGATGAAATGGGCTACACTGAACCACTGGAGGGGGGCACCTGGCGGGCCACCTGGTAGAGGAGCCAATTTATACTCAACCACCAGGAACCCACACTTGGGTGGGGGCTTGGCTCACTCCAGTAACCAACTCAGGTGGAGTGGACAGATTCTAATGATACTAAAAAACTTCCCACTCCAGAGAGACAATTGCGGTTTCCTGTCCTTTGCAAACTCCATACAGAGACTAACAACATGTTGAGCACTCTTGGGCTGCGTCCATGAGGGAATGGTGCAGAGAGGCGAGGCTCCAACTCTGTCCTGTCTTCCAACCTTGCTTCAGCTCTCCCCCTCTGGAGGGCCTCACCCTGGAGCAGTCTTGCCCCTGCCCCACCCCTGACCCCTTCATGTGGCTCTTCATCCTTCAGACCCTCTGTAGGTGTCACTGCTGCCCTCAAGCTTGGGGAGTGGCCCCCATCTGTGCCCCCACAGCATCCCGCTCCTCACCACCAGAGTCCGCAGTGACAGTCTGAAAGCAGGCCCCCCACCCAGTTCACTGCCGCACCCCTACTGCCAGCAGTGCTAGGCACAAAGCAGCCACCCAGACCAGTGCCCAGTGGAGGAATATGGTGGGAGCACAACTACTCTCTCTGTTCATGTGAGCAGTTTCAGCTGCCACAGCCTCGCTGGGTGCCAGGGCCCCCCTCAAAATGCTCCAGCATGGGGCCGAGATCCGACCCTAGGCAGTCTTCTCCTGATCCCATCCTCCACACTTCTTGGCTCTAAGCTATGACCCAGTGTACACAGTGTGAGGCTGAATGAGGCACCCGGAGAGGGCCTGCAGATCAGGTGGGAGGCAGACGCCCATGTGCAGGGGGCCAAGGGCACAGGGTGGGACCCCAGGGATCGCCGGCATGATCCGGCCCTCCCCTGAAAGACCGGGAGCAGCCGGCCGTAAGGGGCCTGTCTTGAGTCCTCTCCCAGGACTGTGGCACTGCCCGTGTCCCCCCAGCACGTGGGCCATGTGAGGACAGAACCTATGAGTGTAACAGGAGGAGACAGGCAGAACACGCACCTTGCCGCTGGGACCGCCACTGCCTGCGGGGGAGACCGGGAGTTCAGACGAGCTGGACCCCGGTGCTGGCCCGGCGGGACTTGATTGGCGGCCGGGCTTCTGCTCCGACAAACCCGCAGCTTTTCTCCTCTGAGCAGCGATTTGGGACAGGACACTGTCTATGCCACCACCTGAGCAAAGAGGGACACATGTGACTGCCAGGGGTCCAGGGCCCGGAAACCGGGGTGTGGTGGACTTCGTGTGCTGACCTTGCGGAGCTGGAAATGCCCTTCCCAGACTCCCCCTTGACCCCATGTGTCTGCGGGCCCGGGCTGACCTCAAGAGGACTGTGCATGAAAACCAAAGGTGGCGACGACCCAGGGGCTGCCACCATGCTCTGAAGGCCTCACGGTGAGGTGTTGGGGGAGGCAGTGCGGGTACGATCGGCTTGTCCTCACGTTCCCTGGGCCACAGCCAGCTGGAGCAGCCTCCCGCAGGTACAGACGCCTGGCCCAGCCACCCACGGCAGCCCCCGTGCTAGTATGTGCCCTCCGACCCCCCACTTTCCAGAGCTGTGTCAAAAACTTCCTCACCGCAATACTCAGAGTGGACTATGATGTTCCCTCTCCCAGCTGCCCCAAACCCACTAGCAAGCTTGCATTATTATGAGAGGAAAGGGGAAGGGGACAACACCCAGGGCTAGAGAGGATCTGAGGGAGAGCACCGACCACCGACGTCGGGAAGTTGCAGCCAGGTGCTGCGTGTGGCTGTGAATATTTGTGCACGTATGAAAGTGCCATTCTGGAGGGCAAAGGGCAACGCTGTGAATTCACTGGAGACTCCTTGAGCCACATCGGGGAGGAAGACAGGATGTGGACAGTTGTTCCTGGGACCATCCACCAAGCAAGCGCGGGGGGCCGCCCACACCTGCAGCCCCACGGGACCCTCATGCCTCCCCTGAGTGGCCCTGCCTGGTACCCACCTGAGCGGTTATGCAGCTCCCCGCCATGCCTGCTCGAGCCCCCTACCCCGCTGGAGCCACCTGAGGAATGAGGTGAGTGGTTGAAGTTTCCAGAATTGGCGGGAGAGGTGGGGCTTCTGGAGAGAGATGGAAATTTAACAGGCCTGACAGGAGTCTGCAAGAATAAGGTGGGTGCTGTGGTTAGGGTCTGTTGCTCCCTCCTCTGGGCACACACGATCACAGCAGGGAGGGACCCGGATTCCTCTGGCTCACCCTAGCTGATGCCTGAGCCCAACACACCTCTGCCAACGAGTGCTCAGCCTGCCAGGCATCCCCTGAGAGGCGAGTTTACCTTTAGCCGCTGACAACCAGACCACCAGCTCAGGCTGAGCCCCTGTGACATCAGTCCCCGAATCACCCCACTTTCAGCATCACTCAACCCCCTCCCCCATAGCGCAGACTAGATGCCAGCCGGCCCTTCTCATTTCCTCCAGGGGCCAGGCTCTCACTCTCCCGCTAGAGACTTGCTGTTGCAATAGCCCCAGGAGGCAGCTGCGAGCAAGGGTCACCCCATTTTACAGAGAGATGGGGGTTCTCAGTTCTTTCAGTCACTCAACACAATGGCAGCGCAGGGTCCTAAATCGTCACTCTTGGTCTGCCATTTACTGATTCTATGATGTGGCGCCTACACGCAAGGGATAATCTCCTCAGGAGAGGGACTGCCTCAGGACATTACAGAGACACACAGAGGCCTACAGAGTCACAAGCCACCATGGGCAAAAAAGCTAGATGTTACACTCCTTGTGAGTATAAGAAAATACCAGCTGTGCATATAGTTGCCTCCTAGTGTTTGCTCCTGGTCATGGACCTCAACAATGACATCATGTGGAAGTTGGTTTGAAACCAAGAACCTAACTCCCCTTCATGGCCCAGGCCACAGAGCTGGGTGCGCTATGGCAGGTTACTTGCCCTCTCCAGGTCCCAGTCTCCTCATCTACTAAAGGGAGGGTTGGATTAGATCAGGTCTTCAGGCTGTGCTCTATGGAGCTCCAGAGCTCCAGAGAAAAGGCAGAGAAGAGGGGGCCCCCCAACTTCCATTCCCTTCACACCACATTTTAATCTGTTTATAAAGTAAGTCCCTTTGTAGGATTCATGAGACAAAAGGATAACACTCATTTAAAAGAAAACAAAACCTTCGACCTTGCCGGATTAGCAGGTCAGAGGTCCCTTCTGCCCACAGCACAACCCAACTTCAGGGAGCAGTGAGTGAATGTCAAAGCTCGTCCGCCAGGCGACTTACAGCATCGGTGCTCCCACCAGCCACGCCCACGGGGGCACCCCTGCCAGCTCTCTGGGGCAACACAGTCTTCACGGGCTCTGCCTTCCCACTGTGACATGTCCGGGACCGATCGGAGCTCCACAGCTCAAAACTGGAAGGGGGTAAGAAAGGGGGGATGACTGCCTTCAGCTTGTCACTCGGGAGTCTGGGGGAGGGGGCTCCGTTGCGAAGCTGAAAAAGAAAGGCTGTGGGTTAGACAAGCCCCAGTGGGGCTCTTCCAGAACTCTCCAGGTTTCTCCCGCTTCTCAGAGAATGGCACCTGCATCTACCCCCTCACCCCTCCCAACACACAACCTGCCAGAAACCCATGTGGTATCCTCTGCTCGCCTCCCAGCAACCAAGCAATACCCTCCTTTACTCTGCTCCAGTCCCCAGCTTCTTTTTTGTCCATGATAGCAGCTAGAACAGAGACAGAGGGGATGGGGAGATGGGGGGGGGGGGAGGGGGGGGGGGGGGGGGGGGAGGGAGAGCTGGGGGTCTCAGGAGGAAGGGGCAGGGCACGGCAGGGGGGACCGCGAGGCCCAGACAGGCTCTCTGTGAGCCCAGCAAAGATTCCCTTCCCCATCCCACCACACCCTTCCTACTCCAGCCACACCTCCCACTGCTGACATTTTTAACTGTAATTTTATATTTTGAAAATGTGATTTAGGGTTAGTATAAAATCCACACAATGATGACTGGTGGATTGTCAAGGAAAAGCATTCACACAGTCCACACTAACTTTAATTAAGAAAAGACAGTGGACTTGGTGCCAGATGGCGCTTTGCAGGGAAGGGCAACCCACAGCTAAACCTGCCTCAGGAGCCGGGCACTCGTGCATCTCCACTAGGACGGCTGCAAACGCCCACTGGGCAGGGCTCCCTGGCCATCCTCCATCTGCCCAGGGGCAGCCCAGCATGCTGGTGCCTTCCACCAGGCATTAGGAGGTGGGATGGGGAAGCGCCACGGCAGGTGGTGGCTGGGCAACCTGGGTCCCACCCTGGCTGCCCCGAGCTCTTCTGAGAGTCTGTGAAAAGGGCTGTCCCGTCAGGACCTCAGCAACTCAGCCAGCAACGAGGGTCAGACTAGAAGCGGACTAGGGATGCACCCTGCTGCAATGCCCTCACCCCTCAAAAGGCATTTTCACTCCTTGAGGTCAGAGTCTAAATTGTTGCAAACTTTCTGGAAGGCATGACAATGCCCACTGACCACTGACCCAGAAATCCTATTTCTAAAGGTTTACCCCCAAGGAAACAGTCGGGCAAGCAGGGGAAACTGAGGCATAAGAATATTCATCAGATCTGTGAAAACGACAACTAAAACCCCAAAGTCCAACAGGTGAGCCCTCACTGGTCTGTGAGGCACAGTCCCATGACGAACTACTTGACGTGATCTGGCTAACGAGTGTTTAATGGCATGCGACAGATGGTCAGACGAACTGTTAGTTAGGTCAGGCTCAGCACAGCATAGGGAAGAGAACAGTGCCGACCTCACAGGGGTGCTGGGGAGGCTGAATGGGCGAACATATGTTAAGTGCTCCTAATGGTGGCCGGCCCTTAGTAAGAGCTGTGAGACGTATTTGCCGCTGTCATATAGGGACGCGATACACTCGTAGAGGCTAAAATACGGCTAGAAAAATACTCAAAAGATACAAAGCACAAAATGTCGTCATGATCCTGTGTGTCATCAAAGGTGATTTTATGTTTCTTCTTTATACTCAACTGCATCTTCCAAAATCTTGGCAACAGCCCTTCTCATACAAAAGTAGCTGCTGCTGCTGCTGCTTAATGAGATTAGCAAGTGTCCGGCAGCACAAGCGCCTACCTTGGTAAACTGGTCTAGAGATAGGGATTCATACCTATCGCACAGCAGGACAGGGCCGAAAGAGCAGATCCCTCAGCACTTGGCTCCAGGTGCCACGGGTCCCTGAGGCAGCTGAGGCCCTCACTGGGGAAGCTTCTGCTCCCTTCTCCTCTCCAATACTACCCTCTCCTGGTCAGCCTTCAGATTAGGGTCCTAGAGCTAAATGGACTTCAGTTCAACCCCAACCAGGAGGCTCTCATTTCAAACAGAAGCACATGATGTCCAGAGAGGGGAAGTCATAAGTCCAAGGTCACACAGCAGATAATTGTGAGCTCCTTCTGGGCCAGGCGCTATGCTAAGAACTTCCTGGGGATAAACTTATTCAAACAAACAACCATGAGGGATAGCGTCCCTTAAGTCAGAGACTGCCAGCTGTCCCCCAGTACCCGTCTTCCACATCTTCCTCAGTAGACACCCCTGACACTATGATGAGACACAGCCACCTGGAACAGAGACTGCATTTCCCAGCCTCCTGTGCAGTGACTCCCACATGACTGCATGCTGGCCGACCTGACATAAGCAGAAGTGGTATGTGGGTTCCCAGGAAACTTTAAAGACACGTGGTATGTGCCCGCAGCCGCTTGTCTCTCCCCTCATCTCTCCTGCTAGCTCGAATGGCCACAGCTCTGGCAGCCGTCTAGGTAACAGAAGCCAAGTATGGGTAGAAGGAAGCATGTCCCTAATTCCATGGGTCAACGTACCAGTCCTGAGCTGCACTTGAGAAAAATAAGCTGCTGTCTCGTCTATGCCACTGTCATTTGAGGACTTTCTGGTATTCATGGCCAAAACTAATCCTGACCCATCTCTAGTTCACAGATGAAGAGACAGAGGCCTCTCAGGCTGCAAGCACAGCCTCCGCCATGACTCCTCTCCTCCTGCCTCCTCCCCACAGCCAAAACAGTGAGTCCAATGTCCCCCATCAAGTCCCACCGTTCAAAGCCCTGTCCTTAGTGCTGCCTCCCTGCAAACGCCATCAGGGCTGATATCTGGCCACTGAGCACCAGCGCAGCCTTACCCATGGCTTCTGGCTGGCATCTGTTCCCCCCCTCAGTGCCAGAGCTGTGACCAGGGTCACATGTTTTGATATCAACCCCATCTGTGACCACCACAAAGACAGACACATGTCTATATCCAGCCTTGTAAATCAATCAACTCATGACTGGTAGAGACCTGAAATGCTTTTAGAAAAGCCCCACACTCACCATGGTGGTCAATAACACATCTTCTTTGTCTCCTCTCGTGCTCCCAGGACCTGAGAGACAAATGGAAATTTCCTGAAATGATCCCCCCTCCAACTCCAAACAAGTTCACGGCATGAGGAAGAGTGACAAGGTCAGTATTCACCCTGGAAAACCAACTCTCCTGAGTGATTTAATATTTAATAATAATTGGTATTCAATATCTGAACAGAAGGAAAAAATTTAAAAGGTATCTCTCAAAGCATGTTTTCAGCTTTTCCATAAACCACTGCCATGCGAGTCAGACAGCGGAGGACCCAGCTCAATAGTCTGTCTCAAACAGCGCTGCTGAAGGAGCTCGTCTCGGGCCTGGGAGTCTGGTAGAAGGGATGTGATTTAATCAATTGTCCAATCAGTGTGGGACTCTCCTTCGATCCCCTGGCAAAGTCATCCAATCTGTTGAACATCTCCAGTGGTGGGAAGTCCATTACCTACCCCACAAACCCCCACCAGATAACTCTATAAAATTCTATTTTAAAACCTTCCAGTGCCAGAGACCAATCATCCTGGACAGGTGGGAAAAGCACCTATCAGAGGCAAGAGACAGGCAGGGCCTGGCCTCTGGTCCCTCAGCAGGGTGTGTGGGACCAAGGCCAGGGACTCTCACCACCACCATCCCCATTCTACCATGCTGACTGCACTGGTGTCCCTGCCTCTCAGTCCTTCCCCAGACCAGCCACTCTGCTCCTGTGTCACATCCCAATAAGCATCTCCCTTCTGACATCAGCCCAGGAGATAGGACAAAAGGCAGAGAATTTGGGTCTGACCATTCTGAGAATTCTACAGCACATGCAGTGTTTTCTTACCATTCTCTTTCATGGTAGGGGCGACAGCCTGAAGCCCCAGGCGGCTTAGCTTATCCTGGGGGGCCGCCCGCATCGTGGAGTCCAGTGCTGACTCTGGCTCATCACAGAAAGGCAAAGGCTGGTTGCTGGAGAGCCCGCGGGGCAGGGTCTGCGTCAGTTTGAGCTTCCGGAACCGATTGGACATTCGGTTCCACCAGGACTGCCAAGGAAATGCAGAGCAGAGGTCATGCTCCAGGAACACCCAGCCTGGGGGTGGTGACTACACTTTACACAGGCTTCCCCTCTGCTCCCCGGGCGCATGACATGTTCTCCCAAACAGCCACCACACCCTCTCTCACAAAGCCATGGTTCTTTCTAAATCCTTTCTGACTCAGCTCTTAGGGGCCCACCTCCGATGGGCGACCCTATCTGCCACCCCTCATCTCACCAATCTCCACCTCACACAGATCGAGAATTGGAGACCCAGATGGGGTGCCCACTTGCTTGGAGTCTTATAGCGAGTCAGAGACAGACAGATGGACAAGAGGTGATGCCAAACACGGTAACATCAGTCACTGTGTAACCTCCTCCCCTGATTCCCGTGAGTGTGAGAGGTGTCGGGTGTCCACAGCAAGGCCTGGGGAGCCTGCTCCAGCAGCTGATGTCCCCCCACCGAGAGAGAGGGGACCGGTACCACCCCCCAGGGTGTCCCATAACCCTGGGACACACCGGGAGGGGAGGCCAGGAGGGCGCGGCTGAGACGGCAGTGAGGATGGGGCTGCAGGAACCTCCGCGAATGACAGACCTGGGGCTTGCGTGAGCGATGCACAGGAACAGGGGGCTGAGCATGCAGATCACGGAGGTGCCAGAACCCCAGACAGGATGGCGGAGAGAGAAGGTGGATTTCAGGCAAGTAGAGAAGACGGGGAGCATGAGAAATTCAAAGAAGAATACTCGGCTTGCAGTTAGAAATGAGCAACTGGAGGTCATTCTGGAATTTCCAGAAAGCCATGGATGCAGGCCCATGGGCAGCGGGGAGACCCGAGAACAGCACCAGCAGCAGTATCCCACGTGCAGACACAGACGCCGCACACACATGGCCTGGGAGGAGAGGCATTTGGATCCTGCCCATACCCGCCATGCTCACTGCTCACCCCCAGTTTACTTCCCGCTCCTGCTGGGCCGCCCTCACCCTAGCCAAAACCAGCCTGGCGTCAGCAGGAAGCGGCAGGCATCCCACAGCCTGTCAGCCTAGCTCTCTCTCTAGCCCTTGAGGACAGGAAAAGGCCAACCTTAAGCCCGCCTTTGTCATCCGGCAGCACTGGGACACTCCAGGGCTGTCGAGCCTTCGAGTGGGGCGGAGGCGGTGGGTGGCTGGGCCGGCCTTTGTCTTTAGTCACCTGCATGCAGACAGATGCCAGCAGTCGAACAAGTTCCGTGTCTATGGACACAAAAGGCAGCGCTTTACCTGCAAATACGTCCGTTGGGCCACGGAGGGGAGGGGGGTCAAGGAGACCCCGCTTGGCCTCAAAACTCAACTCCGTGGCTCCAGCATCTGGGTCACTCCAGGAGTGAGGCCCGGCTCCCTCCATCTAGCCATCAGAAGGCGGCAAACAGGCTGGCAGGGCTCAAGCCACTTCACCAGAAGGAAAAACCAGGAGTCGTCTCCCCACAGAAAGACCGACGGGCAGCACAGTTTAAGAGGACAGACTCTGCAGCCAACGGCGGGGGCCTCGGTTCTGCCTCTGCCCCTCCCCGGCTGTACAACGGCTGGTGAGTGAGTCTCTGGGTCTCTGGAAAGGGCGGCCAGTAGGCACCACGTGAAGGCATGTGGAGGATTCAAGGGAATTCCTGCCTAAGGTAAGTGCTTAAGAGAGGTCGGGTCTTGTTATTGTTACCTGGGCTACCAAAACAAAACAACAACGCTATAAGTGAAACTGACAAGAAAACACTACAAACTATTAAGTGTTTTCCTCTTGATAGCTGTTTCTTTTTTTCTATCCAAGTGTTCAATAATAAGCATGTGTTTCTTTGAAAATTTCAGGCAAAAAGTTTATCTAAAAAAACTCACTAGGAAAAAAAATTGACTAGCGAGAGACTGTCTCAGTGCACAAGAGGGTAGGGAAGTGATCGGAGGCCAAGGGAGAAGAGACACAGTGAGACACAAGTTTGTATGAGAAAAGGGTGCATGATGCAGGGGATGAGTTCAAAGGACACAAACTCTTGGCACACCAGGAAGGTCTCTGATGAGGCGGAGCGAGCTTACTAGACTTGGGCAGAGGACCCCAACTCGCCGCCTAGGTCAAGCCATCTCTCTTGGCCCTGGTCACCTCCCCTCCACAAGGGGACATGCAGCACTGCTTCCCCTCACATGCCCTGTGAGGATGAAATGGAACCAGGTAGGCAGGTGGGGTCTGCGGTGGGGGCAATGCCAGTGACGAGGTAGGGCCCTCCGGCCCGCCACCCCGTAGCCCAGAGAGGTGGTGGGAGCAACTCCACTCGGGACTATGAAGATAAAGACCTCTCCCAAGGCCAGCAGGCTGGGATCTGGCTCACAGCTCAAAGTCTGTGGGTCAGAGGGGCCTCCCAGCCTCTCTACCTCCCTGGACTGAAACTCCAGGGCAACAGGAAACAGGACAGACAGACAGACTCTGATCCCTGAGCTGCCTGACTGGATGCCTCAGGTCTGAGAGGTGGGCCTGTCACAGTTGGGGAGGGCCCAAGGGGAGCAGCAGATGCCTTCGGGGACCAAGAAACATGGGAGTATGGACGGCGACACTGCCAGCAGAGTGCCCTTGACCCAGCGGCCTCTACCTACACAATTCAGCACAGGGGGCCATGGCTTCATGTCTGCTCCTCCTTGTCAAAGGGGCCTTTCTGTTTCCCCCAGAGTCAGGGTTTCTGGCTCCAAAGCCCTGGTACCATTCTGGGGCTTGTGTGGCCCACTGAGGCAGATTCGTGTCTCCCTGGCCTTCCCTCCTAGGAGACTCCCTGAAGGCCGGTGCTGGAGAAGCCCAGAGGTTTACCTGGTGCCAGCCCAGTGTTTACTGAGGAAGGAAGCCACTTGTCTGAGGACCCGTGGTGAGCCCCTTGGGGCTTAAGAGTGACTTCCCCCATGAATAAGCAAGGGCTGAAAACAAAGGTGACTCTCTCCATTCCTAGCCAGAGAAAGGCTGTGCAGGTTTACAGCCCTTTTCCAGAAACAACCCACCAGGATCACTCAGCAGCATCACTAGGTCAAAGGCCGTGTACCCGTTTTTTGCACGAAGAGTGACATCAGCCCCTTGGTTTAGCAGATATTTGACAATTTCCTTATTCCTGGGGAGGAAAGAAAAAGCCAGAGTTAGAGGCACTGAAAGCGAAAGCCTGGCTTTGCTCCTGGGCAAGCTGACGGTATTAACTACAGTGCCCCATCCCAGAGCCCAAAAGAAGGGCGTGGAAAGCTGCCAAGGGCCTCACACTCCTCCTTCCCTACCCCATGGGCTGGTCAGACCAGATCGAATGTGATGGAAACCAAAGCCTAGGTGTTCCTTCCACAAACAAAAGGAAAACTACGTGGCCAACACGCCCACACATAGATTCCCCACTCCTCCTGCCCCAAATCAGGACCCCCACGCTGTAGAAGCCCCACACAGGCCAAGGTGGCTGATGCAGAAGCCCGAGGCTGACCAAAGAGCAAAACAAACTGCTTTGAGATGACACGGGAGAGTGCTGTGATCACCTGAAACAGGGAAGGAAGGGCCGGTTATTTGGAATCAGACCACCGAGCCACTGTAAGAAGGTCTGCAGCTCCTAGTCTCTGGGCCAGCCTACCTGGGAGAGGGAGGACAGGAGGTGAAGGGATTCAGAAGCACCAGTCAATGGCGGTGCCTATTCAGAAGGAGAGGGTGAGGACAAGATTCACTGCCAGTTGCCGAGAAGCCAACGGTATGAATGGCTCATGTTCATTTCCAGTGGGACACAAACTTAAGGACAGCAGTGTGAACATTCCAAACCAACCGACCACTGTTCCACTGAAATCTACTAGAGACACTTACCTGCCTGCATAAAATGTTCCTGCTGCACAGTTTTTATGGGCACTGGTGAATTCTGTGATAAGGTCACGGGCATCAGGACACAGAATAGGAACGCAGGATAGAATGAGCCTGCACCACTTTGATTTTTGTGTGTGTGTGCCTCAAGGTCTTCCCAGCCCTTGAGTTCATCTGTAGTTTCTCGGGACCAGAAAACCCCTTTAAGAACCCTATCTGAGCTCAACAGGGGGATAACATGTTATCGTAAGCCTCCCACGGAAGGAGCAGAGCTGGCACTGACCCATGGTAGGTGGCCTGCATGAGGGCCGTCCAGCCATGCACGCTGTCCTGCTTGTCAACGTCGGCATGCCTCTCCACCAGCAGCTGCACCAGAGGCAGCTGCCCCATGACCGCTGCCAGCATCAGCGGGGTGGCCCCATCCCCGTTGACCAGATTCACATAGTTGGGGTCTTCGTCTGCAATCTCTTTGACCAGCTGGAAGTTTCCTGCAAACAGAAGAGGGAGATCTGGTGGTCTGCAGGCAGGGGGCTGCCGGATGACTTATCCAGCAGGTTTCGGTAACAAACAGGTGCTCAGCCTGCCTCTGCACTGGGCTGCTGGGCATCAAAGGGGTGACAAAGGTGAAGAAGAGGGAGCCCCCATCCTCAAATCTCTTGGTAAGGATTGGAGGCAAGCACAAAAATAGTTTTTCTAAAAGAGAGAAGTGTTATTGATATCCCAAGAGAACAGATGAAGGAACATGAAGGGCAATGTGTCGCAGATAGCTCAGATCTCCCTGGGGAGTGAGGATCAGGGAGGGCTTCCTGGAGGTGGGGTCTACAGCAAGAGAGATTTTTGGCTTCATCACAATGAGAGTGGAGTGGGTAGGTAGGCCGTGAAGCATTTCAGAGGTAGGGAAAAGCCAGAACATAGCCACAGGGTTTGGCAGGGGGTGGGGGTGGGGGGCTGGGAGAGCAGTCTGGAATTTGTGTATAAAGCATCATAATGACTACCAGTCTCCAGGGGCTGAACCACCCTGTGTGAAACCACCGAGTCAGGAAATAACAAAATGCCTGTTTCTTTCTCAAACACTCTGGGTGGCCCTGAAATGGATTATAAATACCAGGTTGGGAGAATGTCCCTATATCCATAAATCTCCAAAAAGATTTTCTAAAGTGCTTACCCATTTTCAATGCATGGAAAATATCAGGCCGCCTTTTCTCCTCATCTAGGTAAACAAAGATTTTTAAAGTTAACCACAAAAGATTTACTAGAATAGAAAAGTCACCCACATGTAACAATACAGCCTAGCTTTAAAAGTAATCTGGTTTCCCAAGCAATCTGATCAGAGACCCATGTAACAGATGAACCCAGCATCCCTTCTGGAAGAGTTAGAGTGTCTGTAGATTCCCCCAAGACAGAACTTGGGTAGTCATCAGGCCAACAAAACCTGAAGAAGCAGAACATTTCCTGATCCCACACCCATAAAGCAATCATTTTGGGGCATTCCAAACTTTGGGATGTCCTCTCTTAGCTGTAATGGGAAAGTATGGTCTTGGAAAAATCTGGATTCCTATGAAAAAACATTAAAAAAAAAAAGTGATTCTTCTCTACTAAAAACTAAAGGTACAACCCTGAGATAATCCCAAAGGAGAGAATGGAGACACTAAGCAGCTGAGCCCAGGGGGAGGTCATGGATGTGGCCACCAGAAGAGCCCAATGTTCACTTTTGTTTTCCTTCCCAAATAAGAAGCAATCTGAACAACTCTGAGTCTGCCCCAGCCTTGCAGATGTGGCCCCCTGCAGACCCCCTGATGTTTTTACCTTGGTCCCTGCAGCCCAGTTGGTATGGGAGGCCACGCCTATCCCCAAACCTGGGCCTTGTTGTACCCACCTCATGCTGGCCCCTTCCCATCGGTCACCTTCCTCTGAGCCTGAGCTGGTAGGTACTGTGCTACTGTTAGAAAACAGACATCCTCAGCACCAACACCCCTGTAGGTGGCCGAATGCAAGACTTCTGGCAATTCCACGAACTCCAGAGACAGAGTTCGTGGCAGGGGAACTGTGAGAGGTGTGAGAGCTGCGAGGGGAACCTGTGGCTCTGGGCTAACTCTCTGGGCCGGGTCAGCCCCCTCAAGCAGCTGGGAGGAAGCTGCCGCCCGGTGCAGGGATCACCAAGTTTGAAGTGAGCGTGTTGGAAAGTGTGTGTGTGTTTCTAGAATGATCACTCTCCTCACCAACAACAGGGGGATAACATGTTAACATGGGGACGATGTGGTGATTTCAGAGATCAAGAATGGAAATGGGAAATGCTCCAGAAATCCAAACAGCAATTTTTGTTCTCTTGACCAGTGACTGGCACCCACCCCGGAAAGGGTATTCCGTAACTCCAAGCTTCTCACAGAGACGTACGGACAGGGCCATGGGACCGAGTGTCTAATTCTGCTAGTGTAATACTATTAAGAAAGGATTCTGCATCTCAGTTTTAAATATGTCACATTCCTTTAAGTATATAAAAGTCTAATTTGTTGTGGGCGGAGCCTTCTCATGCCAAGACCCCTTGAGGAAAAAGCGTGTCACCTGGCCTGTGTGTTGGTTGCTAAGCAACCATTCGATACAAAACAATCCCTGACCCTCTAGCCTGACCCCAGGAGGCTGGGGGAGCTGTGCCACTGATGGTCCCCTCCTCCTTCCAGATACCAGTGTTGCCATCTGCGGCAGAGCAGACTGGGGACCCTGCCCGAGCCCAGGAACAACCACAGTAGGGGTCGGGGGGTACCCTCTTGTAGCTAACGGGAGGGAAAGAACTGGGGGGGGCCTTCCAGGCGAATTTCTTGGCACCTCACAAAAAACAGCTAGAGGCTAACGGTTATTTATTTAATAATCTATCACTAATAACACACTTTCACCCGTGCTGCTGGCCTACCTGAAGGCTCTTCCCTGAGAGCCTGTTTGGAGCACTCCCTCAGCTCCTGCAAGCCAGCTGCCGTCTCACCTGCTCCAGGAAGCCACCCACCAGGGGCAGCCTGCATCGCCCCAATCACCACCACTCCCAAACCTCAGCCTTGCCCATCTCCTGCCCCCACCATGGTACTGCCCACCTACCATACCGTATACTTAATATTTATTTCCTGCTTGCCTGTCTCCCCTACAGAGGCCAAGGTCTTCACGGGCAGAGGGCACATTGTTCTAGAGCAGGGGTTGGTAAACTACAGTCCTGGGCCAAATCTGCTCCCCAGCTTATTTTGGTAATTAGTGTTTTACTAGAACACGCCATACCCACTCATTGACATATAATGTATGGCCGCTTTCTCTCTAGTAGAATTGAGTGGTTCTGACAGAGGCTGGCCCGCAAAGTCTAAAATATTTACTATCTGGTCCTTTCCAGAAAAAGTCGGCTGACCCCTATTCTAGAAAGATCCCAGAACCTCCTGCATCAGAATCGTCTGGTTGGAAAGGAGGGGCCTTGCTATGGGGGTTCCGGGCTCTTCCCACAGATACCAAATCACTCCAGAGGGTAGCCCTTGGACCCACAAATAATAGGCACTCCAACTGATTCTTATGCACAGCACAACTTAAGACCCACTGTTCTGTAGGCCAGACTCTGATTTGTGCATGCCCTCTGGTTGGGTAAGCCTCAGCTTTTGTCATTTAAACACCATTTAGGGTCCTCTGTGAAGCCATGGCAGGAAAGGGAAGGGTTGGTGGCAGCACAGCCTGACCTGTCTTGGGCCTGACCGTGGTCAGTGGGTCCAGGTAGTCTGCAAGATCCCTATGCTTGCGGTCCAGTGCAACCTCGAAGGCGGTCTTCTCCAGCACGCTGAGGTGGTCAGGGTTGGCCCCCTTCTCCACCAGCTGCTGGGCCATGCCAAGCCTCCCAATGAGCGCCGACAGCATCAGCGGGCTCCAGCCCACAGTTCGGGCCACGCGGTTGGGGTCCGCACCCCACTCCATCAGCAGACGCACTACAGCCTCGTGCCCATGTTGAATGGCAGCCATCAGGGCTGTGATGTCCAACAGCTCGTCCCTGCTGTCCCCTGCCCCCGGCTGCTCGCTGGAGGGGTTGTGATGGTCCACAAAGGCACCAGCTTCCAGAAGCAGCTTCACCACGCCCAGGTGGCCACCCCGAGAGGCCACAGTGAGCACACTGGCCCCTAGTCGGTTCTGGGCATTGACATCAGCCCCATGGTCCAAAAGGAGATGTGCCACACTCACGTGCCCAAATCTGCCAGGAAGACAGAGAATTAGTGACACTAACATGGAGCACTGACACGGAGACAGCTTATGTAATCCTCATCTGTCATTAATTATTAAAGTCAAAATAGCGACTTAGAGTAAAAGGTCTTCTTCTGGTGCCAGGCACTGTGCTGGCCCTGCAGGTCCACCATCAAACATGAACAACTGCTCTGTCTAGGTTCAAATCCAGCTCTGCCAATCACTAGCTATACAACCCTGAGAAAGAACTTTAGCTTCTTCATGCCTTCATTGCCTTACCTGTAAAACAGGGATATATCACCGTGTCTGCTTCAAGGGCTGTTAAGGATTCAACGAGTTAGCATATATTAATAGAGAATATATGCAGCACTCAGAACAGTGCTTGGCCAAAGGAGCACTGCGTAAGTGTTAGATGTTTTAATGATCATTTGACCTTTTATGTTACACTAAGTACCGATGTCACCCAACTGGTAAGAAGTGGTGTCAGGGTCAGAGCCCAGGTCTGTCTGAATCCTAATGTCCTCACTTTTTCCCCTACACCATGCTGCTTCCCACATCCCAGAGAGTTCATTTTATTTTGCTTTGTAGCCTTGCAATCTACTTCTGTCTGTGCTGACTCCCGTGGGCAGGGCTCAGGGCTGACTCATGTCTCCCATCCCCAAACACACACAGAAGGTCCTTCAAGATGAGCCAGGGCACCGCATGCCAAGAGGAGTAGCCCGGCTCTGGTCAGCAGAGATGGGCTCGCCAGAAGCCTGCTGCCACCTGCAGGCAGAAATGCCGGCTGTCAGGGGCTAAGAATTAGGCCTGGGCGGGGCCTTCCTCCAGGAAGCTGGAGCGGGCCAGGGAGACACACAAGTGACCACCAACCAACACCAATACCAGGAAAACAGATGCCTCTTCCCAGCAAAACCTCTGCCTTCTTTAGCCACCAGAGGGCAGAAAAGATCTGTTTTGCAGGGTTTTGGTTGGCACACTTGGGGCTGAGCAGCGAGTGTCTGAGCTGGAAGGAGCCTTGGACTAACCAGAAAGAATGACGGGAGAGGGGTCCGGAGCACCAGATCGTAACGTCTGCATCTGCGAGGCAGCGTTTTGGTTCTCTTGTCGCATTCCCCTCCTTTCCGGAAGTGAGTTTCGTACCTCCTATAAACCTAGGGCCTCCCTTCTCCCTGTGGAGGCAAAGCCAAGGCCAAACTCTGATCTGAACTTAAAAATACCTTCAGAGACGTGAACCTTAACAGCACCGGGTCACCTCAGTCTCTGGAGGGAGAGCTTGTGAACTGGCTCCTCCAGCTCTTGGGGGACTGGGCCTGTCCCTCCTCTTCTCCAAAAGCAGAAAGGGAGCAAATCAAAATCACAAGCTCAAATGCAGAAAACTTCAACCCCAGCCTGTCTCCCTACCTCCAGTCGTATTCCTTCCTGCCCATCCTCTGTGGCGGGATTGCCCCAAGCTGACGGCCACGGCCCAGCTTCCCACTGCCTGAAGAGGCCTGTCCACCTTGACCAAGTCAACTTCATGTCCACCCAACCCCCACGGCATCCCCTCCACTCTGGCCTGTACTCACTAATTCTACTCCTTCCATGACTTTGCCTTTGCCATCCTGCCTCTCTGCCCAGAACACTCCCCTGTCCGTCTCTCCTAAGTATACCATCCTGCTTCAGGATTCAGCTCAGAGCTCACCCCTCTGAGCAGTTTCCAGGACCCCTTCCCGCCATGAGTTCAGGTGCCCCGCCATGAGTTCAGGTGCCCTTCATCTAGGCACCTGAAGTCCCCCGGTCCTCGCCTCTAGGATGCACCTGAGCCTTCCTTCTACCATTATGTCTGCCTGTTAGACCGTGCGCTCTCGGAGGACAGGACCGGGGGCTGACCGACAGTGGGGCTCAGTAGATGGTGTTAAATAAATGACTGGCATAACCAAGCAGAGGATGGTCCAGAGGTGGGCCATGGAAAGGACCACAGAACTCATTTATCCTCCATCAAAGTAGAGAATTTTAAAAAACCACACTATTTCGTTATCAAGCATAAAATAAAACCTAGGATAACTCCTCACAGCAGATTAAAAGGTACTGTCACATTTTTATCTCATTTGATCTTAATAAACCCTAAAATATTTTTAAGATTTTATTTTATTATTATTTTTTTGACAGAGACACAGTGAGAGAGGGAACACAATCAGGGGTGGAGGGGGAGAGAGAAGCAGGCTTCCTGCTGAGCAGGGAGCCTGACATGGGGCTCAATCCCAGGACCCTGGGACTGAGACTGGGATTGAGCCATGACCTAAGCCAAAGGCAGATGCTTAATGACTGAACCACCCAATAAACCTTGAAATAAACTGATAATGCCCATTTCACAGATGAGGAAACTGAAGACCTGAATGGAAAGCAGAGCCTCTTCTTTTGAAAGTGATAAGAGTCAAAACTTGAACCTAGACCCTAAAACCCCCAAACTCCAGCTCTTCTGGTACAAAACATTATCAGATAGAAAGAAAAGGAGAGAATTTAAACCTAAATGCTGACACCTGGAATACTTTCTGAACCCACAGGTAGCCCAAGAGGTCACTCAATTAGGCTGAAAACATAAAACAATTCAGGGAAGGCTGAGAGAATTTTGTGGATGCTATGTTTCTAATAGGTAATTACTGAGGACGGGGAAGCGTGGGGCTTTCTGAACAGCAGCTGTGATTACCAATTAATTTCGGCAATTAACACCTGTGTTTAAAGACCTGGCACAAAGTCCTACAGCCCAAAGTACTGGGCAGAGAGGCCACACTGGCAGGCAGAGAAATGAAGGGCAGGAGAAGGAAAGTAAGAGGCCAAGGGTGAAGTTAGGGCCAAAGTAAACACCATGCAACCTGTCCCTTTAGCATTTGGCCAATTTGTCGAGGAGCTTCCCTGTGGCCAAGACCAAGAGGAAACAGGTTACAGGATTGGTGGCCTAGAACAGAGGCCGGGAGCACAGGCTCTGGAATCACCCACCAGGGTGTGAATGTGGCTCTGCCACTTAAATGCTGTGTGGCCTTGAGAAGTTAACTCTCTGAGCTTCAATTCCTCATCTGTAAAATAGGGATGACAATAGTACTTACACAGCCCAAGGTTTTTGTGGATTAAATGAATTACTTCACTTAAAGCAATGAAACCCATGCTTGACACAAAAAGTGCTCAAAAAAGCTTACCATTTTCAGAATAGGATAAAACATGAATGTAACCATTTCTTTTTTTTTTTTTTTTTTTTTTACCATTTATTTATTTGACAGAGACACAGTGAGAAGGAACATAAGCAGGGGGAGTGGGAGAGGGAGAAGCAGGCTTCCCCCTAAGCAGGGAGCGGGATGTGGGGCTTGATCCCAGGACGCTGGGATCATGACCTGAGCCAAAGAGAGACATCAACCGACTGAGCCATCCAGGCGCCCCAAATGTAACCATTTCTGATACTAAAACACCCACCAGAGACCAAACTGAGGGGTGCGTGCGGCCTAAGATGATGGCCAACAGGGGTGAGTGACTTTACTGAATATCAGAATCCCCTCCCACCAGCGCTTCAAATCCCCTTCATCCTGCTTCCTGAGAACATCTCAAACATCCAGTTGCTCTCCACTGCTCTCTGCTCTGGTCCAGGCTACCATCACCTCTCCCTAGACTGCCGCAATCGCCTGCCAACCAAGCTTTCTGACACTAGCCCATCCCTCCAATCTGTCCTCACCCTGCAGTGAAAGTGATCTTCCCAAAACATAAATCTGATTCTGTCACTCTCTCTGCCTAGAACCTTCTAGTACTCCCCAGGGCCCTTAGGATACCTCATCTTTCTCAGCTCTGCCACACAGCATCTGCCTCCTCTCCAGGGAGGGCTCCTCTCCCACTACTTCCAGCCCCCTCCTAGCACTGACATCCTTCTAGCAGTCCTTCCAACGCCTTGTGTTCATGTTTGCTTTCAAACATTTGCGTGAGCCTCCTCTCACGCCCTTCCCACCTCCCACTTCTTCTGTCCTGGTTAATTCTTACCCAGTCTCGACTTGAAAATATACATCATTCTTACAAAAAAACCTTCCTCCACTTCCACGAACTGGGTCTGCCATCCCCAGAGCTCCCTGCACTTTCCCCATCATCTCTTGTCTGGTCTGCCCACTGGCGCGTGAGCTGCTCCTGGTGCGGCTGTGCCTGGCTCCCACAGTGTCCCCGTCGCCCAGGCTAGGATGGGTAGGTAGGTAGGTTCTTGGGAAACTCATGTTGCAAGAAAGGATGAATGAACACCTCTAGGATGATAAGTCTCTAAGATTCTATTCAACGCGGTCTTCAGATTGTTTCGAAAGGCCCGCCGTTTCTAAGATTCTGATTTTATTGTTAGAAAGCTCTCCCACTTCTTGTAGAATCCCAAGCTGCTCAAAGTTTACCATTCCAGCTCTCTCGAACGAGTTCTTGACTCTTTACCTCCCTGGCCGTCTGCAGGGGCGCCAGACAGGGCCGGCCACCTGAGCCCGCCTGGCTCCGGGGACCGCCAACACCACCCCTGGGGATCCCGGGCCCCTCACCTGGCTGCCTGCATGAGCGCGCTCCAGCCGTAGTGGTTGCGGCTGTTGACCGAGGCGCCGCGGCGCAGCAAGAAGCGCACCAGCGGCTCGTGGCCCCCGGCCGCGGCGAACTGCAGCGCCGTGTTGCCCGCCTCGTCCGAGCAGTCCACGGGCACTGGCGCTCCGGCCGCCGCCGCCGCCGCCGTCCCGGGCCCGGCCGCCTCGGCCCTCGCCGGCTCCGCGCCCGCCTCGGGCTCCGCGCTGCGTTCCGCCGGCTCCGCCGCCCCCGCCTCGAGTAGCCGCCGCGCCGTCTCGGTGTCGCCCTGGTCGCAAGCACGCAGCAGCAGCTGGAAGGCCGGGGGGAGCCCGCCCTCGCCCATCGCGGCCCGGCGGCCCGCGCCCCTCGGTCTGGCCGGCCGCGCCGGCTCCGCCCCCGGATACCGCGCGCCAGCGCCCCCTTCCGCCCGCCGCCCGCGCGCCTACTGTGTGCCGGGCGCGCGCCAGGGGGGGCGGGACCGCGCGCCTACTGTGTGCCGGGCGCGCGCTGGAGGCCGGGCCGCGCGTCCTCGCCGCGCCGGGAGGGACAGTGAATTCCGGAAAGCTCTGAGGCTAACCTGCCCGCCTTTGCCCGTGCGGCGCCTGGTGACGGCCCACCCCGGCGGCTTAGGGGACTTCCTGTCCCGCGCGGAGGTTGGAGCGCCTGCTCCAGCCCACTCACGCAGCGAGCTCGGAACCACCCGGTCTGGGTCCCCTGCCGCTCGGGCCGGGCCTGTGGCGCGCAGCTGCTCCCTGCCCGGCTGGCGCCGGGCGCACAGCGGCAACTTCCCAGTTGTTGGCTGAAGGGAGGCTCGGATGGGTCCACTCTGCACCCGGCCCCCGGGACGTCCTGCGGGGCCTTCAGAGCCGGTCCTTACCTGGGGATTAAGGCTACAAGCGCTTCCTGTACCTCCTCTCTTTTCATCAGTGATTCTTGAATCGGCACCATCTGGGACACTGTTACAAATGCAAATTTCCTGACTCCACCCCAGTCCTAAGGGATCAGAAATTCGCGTGTGGGGCCCAGCTACCTGTATTTTAGCAAGCCCTCCGGATGATGCTGGTGCATATTGAAGCTTGAGGCCTACGTTTGATCCTCGCAGCATCCCGTCAGCCACAAGGGAGGGCTCAAGTGACCACCCCCAGTTTACAGAGGAGACACCTGAGGCTTAGGGAGATTAAGTCACAGGACTCTCCTGCAGGAGGGAGGTGACTGGGACCCCGGTCTTCTGTGCTCTGGGCTCAACAAATATTTATGGAGTGCCAACCATGCACTGTTCTCAGTGCTGGAGAAGCTGCAGGAACAAAATAAAATCCCTGCTTTCCTGGACCCGACAGTGGAAAAAGACAATCTGTAAATACACAAACAAGTAAGTAACTTATACAGGTGTCAGCGATGAGTGCTATTGAAACAATAAATAGAGCACAACCTAAATCCTAGTACATAGGTTAAAGGATGGGGTATTGGGGCGCATGGGTGGCTCAGGTCATGATCCCAGAGTCCTGGGATCCAGCCCCGCATCAAGGCTCTCTGCTCAGCAGGGAGCCTGCTTCTCTGCCTACTTGTGATCTCTGTCTGTCAAATCAATCAATCAATCAAATCTTTAAGAAAAAAAAAAAGGATGGGGTATTATTTTATAATAGGATGGGTACAGAAGGTATCCCTGAGAATGTGACACTAGCACAGACCATGGAGCCAGGCTGACATTTGGGGAGAGTGCCATCCAGGCGGGGGGGGGGGGGGGGGCTTCTAACAAGGGCAGCCCTGTTTGCAAACTGCTTACACCACCTGCTCCTTGCGATAACATTAACATTCTGATATGTTATTCTGATATGATTTGCTTCCCTAGACTCTGAGCTGTGGTCTGAAAGCTTCGCAGAAGGCCAGATACAGTAGGTGCTCAGTACACGATGTGTAAATGGCTATGTCTTGTGTACATGGAATCATAACACAGGGGGCACCTGGGTGGGTCAGTGGTTTAAAGCCTCTGCCTTCGGCTCAGGTCATGATCTCAGGGTCCTGGGATCGAGTCCCGCATCGGACTCTCTGCTTGGCGGAGAGCCCGCTTCCTCCTCTATCTCTCTCTCTGCCTGCCTCTCTGCCTACTTGTGATCTCTCTCTGTGAAATAAATAAATAAAAATTTAAAAAAAAAAGAATCATAACACAGATCAGCACTTGATGAGGGCCTGAAAAAGGAATAAGGATCATGGCATTGGCAGATCAGAGAAGATGGTAATACCTTTAGGATCTGGGCCAGCAGGGCTGGAAGAAGAAGTCTAAGCAAAATGTAAAGATGAGGAGAAACCTCGAAACTACACAGGGCTCAGTTTCCCAAGGGCCAATGAATGCCAGGATGAATATAGTGGGATTTATTCTGGGAGTAATGGGAAGCCATGGAAAGTGAACAGGCAAGTTACAGGGCTAGAGCTAATCACATAGGTCCAGTGTGTGAAGTGGTACACTCTCACTCCATTCCTGATTTGGCCCCATTTACAACAGAGGTGAGGATGACTTCCTTGTGAAGGTCTAATGAAGACATTTGTTTCTGTGAAAATCCTGAATAATTGCATCCTTTTAGAATTCTACTTATTCAGGGGCACCTGGGTGGCTCAGCGGGTTAAAGGCTCTGCCTTCAGCTCAGGTCATGATCCCAGGGTGCTGGCATTGAGCCCCTCATCGGGCTCTCTGCTCAGCATGGAGCCTGCTTCCCTTCCTCTCTCTCTGCCTGCCTCTCTGCCTACTTGTGATCTCTGTCTGTCAAATAAATAAATAAATGAAATCTTTAAAAAATCAATAAATAAAAATAAAATTCTACTTATTCAGCTTTTTACTAACTAGCTGTTTCATTATAAAAGTTACACGTGTGGTAAAAAATAAATTCTGACAGTATAGAAGGACATAAGGCCAAAGTGAAAGCCCCTTTCCCTCTTCTCCCACTTCCTGGTCTTACTCCCTGTACGTAACCAATATTCACATTTGTTTCATCTTTCCAAGGATGTTTCACACGTATACAGACATGCATATGTACATATAGGCATTGATCAACTTTCTTGATTGCACGCTGTAGAAACAAACCCTCTGGATAATTTCAGTAGAAAGGGGATTTAATACAAGGATCTTTTTGTAGCTCACAGATCCCATAAGGACCAAAGAACCAATGTTGGAAGGCCCACAACCAAGAAGGGCGCACCATATTACAGTATGGCTGCACCCTATACCAGGATGGAGTACGCATGGGCCCTTTCTGGAATTCCCAGCTCCAGAGTGAGAGCCTGAGATGAGAGAGAGTAAATGGCTCAGCCTGGGTCACGTGGTCTGACTGGCAGAAAGGGAGATTGAGAAAGTGCATTTCGGGCATTTTCAGCATGTATAGCAGGAGGTAGGCTCCAGGATAGGTTCCCTAGAAGAGTTCCCTAGAAGGGAAGAAACACTCCAGGTTAGGGAGCAGGTTCAGATACTGGGCAGCCAAAAACGATAAATGTCTACTACAAATATTCCCTTAAGAGTGAGTATCTGCTGCTTATACCTGCTCTGCTTCTCCTACTCCAGGAAGAAATGCCTCCTTTCTTTTAGGGAGCCTCCCTCCCTGCTCTCAGTCTGTATGGCTCAGTGGTTAGATTATGTCCCAGCCCATCGTGATTGATTCAGCTGGGAGTTCTTGCTAAAGCAGTTAGGAACCAGGGCCTCTGTGCTAAAGCTGTCAACTGTCAGGCTGTCCAGATGCTGTAAGCCACACTGTGCTTGCTCTGCCACCACTTGCAGAGTCTGCCTGGGAGAGAAGCTACCACTCAGGAAAGCGCGACAAGTGATGGAGAGAGAGGGAGTCAGAAAATCTTCGAAGCTCCTCCCCCCACTCCACCCCCCCCCCCCCCCCCCCCCCCGCCCTGTTCTTTTTGGTAAGTTGGTTTGGAGCAGGGTTGTCATCCCCTGCCATCCCAGGCTTCACAAATGCATATTTTACTTTGTGAATGAATGCATTTCATACCCTGCAGGCTCTTCGGAATCTTGCTTTTTAAAAAATTTAACAAACGGCATCTTTCCATGCAGGTGAATATAGATCTGCTACATCCTTTCTAGTGGTAGCATGGAACACCATTAAGCAGATGTACCCTAATTTATTTAACCATTTTTAAATGATGCACAATTAGCTTGTTTCCACTGTTCTGCTATTATAGAAAAACAAATCTTGTTCTGACAGCGCTTATAGGTCAGGGTCCCAGCAGGAGACAGATGGTACACTTGGCTGAAGAAATGAGGAGCATTTACTAAAGGACTAATTACAGAACTGTGGGCAGAGTTTACTACGAACTCCAAGAGCTGGTGCAGTACTCCAACACTGCTAACAGTAGGGAGCCATTGCCACCCCAGGCCTGAAGGGGGAAGGGAGAGAGCAGTTACTGGAATTCTGCAAGAGAGAAAAATGGGGAGATCTCGCTGATAGGAGTTAGGACCTTTGGTAGAGAGACACAGCCAACCTATAGCAACCTAGTAGGGAATAATCCCCAGAGCAATAAAACCCTCTGACTTCCTCCTCCTCCTGCACTCTAGTGCTCCTTCTTGGCCAAACCCAGCTGTTAGCCAGAGGTTTGACCCTGCTGCTAAGGTCCCCTCAGTCATCCTTTCACGGTTCAGAGCAGGGAGGAGAGACTCAGTGGTGATATAAACATTCCAGCACCTTGCTACTCAAAATGCGGTCCTTGGACCAGCAGCCTTGGTACTACCCCAGAGCTTCTTAGAAACACAGCGTCTTGCATCCACCCCAGACCTACTGGACCAGAATCGACATTTCAGCATGACCCCCCAGTGATTCACATACACATAGTTTTCAACGCATGAATCTGGGACATCTTTGTACACAAATCTCTTATACAAGTGTATCTATAGTCTTATTATATATGAACTCTCTTCCAATATTTTTTCATTGATCCCTGTGTTGTTTTGGGTCCTCTGAGAACCAAATGCCAAGGTGTCCCCCCCACCCCACCCCAGGAGAAATGCTTGGATGAAGGAGGAAGGAGGAGGAAAAGGGAAGGAGGGCCTTCGGACCCTAATGCAGATGCTACAGCTGGGAAAAGAGAGTGGAAGGGAGGAGGCTGGGGTAGGAAGGCTCCAGAGTGCTCTGCAGTTCTGGAAATGTCTCCGCCAAGCCAATGGGGAATACCCAGGCAAAGGTGGCCTGCTAGGGTGTCCTGCATCAGAGAGAAGTAGCTGGGTTCTTATATCCCCTATGCTTAGTCATTGACTGGGAGAAACCAGGGGAAACAGCTTCAGCAAGAACTTCATAGAAGATTGGAAAGCATAGAAGCTGGAGGCTCTCAGCCAGCTGTGCTCCCCGCAGTGGG